ACGTGATTTTTATTATGTATGTTAATATCATTACTTTCAACAGCCCATTAGCCTTAGCACTCGCACAACATCTGTCATACAGCACAGCATCTATCATACGGCATAAAACCTATCATACAGCACAACATCTGATATAAAACTCAACACCTACCATGCAGCGCAACACCTAGCATAAAGCACAACATCTTTCATACAGCACAACACCTAGCTTAAAGAACAGCACATAACTTACAGCACAACACCTACCATACAGCACAACACCTACCATACAGCACAACACCTAGCATAAAGCACAACATCTTTCATACAGCACAACACCTAGCTTAAAGAACAGCACATAACTTACAGCACAACACCTACCATACAGCACAACACTTAGCATAATGCACAACATCTTTCATACAGCACATCACCTAGCTTAAAGAACAGCACATAACTTACAGCACAGCACCTACCATACATCACAACACCTGTCATACAGCACAACACCTGTCATACAGCACAACACCTGTCTTACAGCACAACACCTGTCTTACAGCACAACACCTGTCTTACAGCACAACACCTGTCTTACAGCACAACACCTACCAAACAGCACAACACCTGTCTTACAGCACAACACCTACCATACAGCACAACACCTGCCATACAGCACAACACCTGCCATACAGCACAACACCTGCCTAACAGCACAACACCTACCTACCAAACAGCACAACACCTGTCTTACAGCACAACACCTACCAAACAGCACAACACCTGTCTTACAGCACAACACCTGTCATACAGCACAACACCTGTCATACAGCACAACACCTGTCATACAGCACAACACCTACCACACAGCACAACACCTGTCATACAGCACAACAACTGTCATACAGCACAACACCTGTCTTACAGCACAACACCTGTCTTACAGCACAACACCTATCTTACAGCACAACACCTGTCTTACAGCACAACACCTACCAAACAGCACAACACCTGTCTTACAGCACAACACCTACCATACAGCACAACACCTGTCTTACGGCACAACACCTGTCATACAGCACAACACCTGTCTTACAGCACAACACCTGTCATACAGCGCAACACCTACCAAAAAGCACAACACCTGTCATACAGCACAACAACTGTCATACAGCACAACACCTACCAAACAGCACAACACCTGTCTTACAGCACAACACCTACCTTACAGCACAAAACCTACCTTACAGCACAACACCTAGCATAAAGCACAACACCTTTTAAACAGCACAACACCTGTCATACAGCACAACACCTGTCATACAGCAAAACACCTATCAGAAATCACAACCAGCAACCTGGGATACCGGTGACGGTAGTACAGATGACCTGGGCGACGACAGGCCATCGATCCCAAAACAGCTGATCGTTGCGGAAGAAGGAGGGGGGAAAAACGCGTTCATTTGCGTCATCAGGTTTATGAAGTGATTGTGTCGCACCAGCTGTGCACGCGCGGTGGAAGGGAGAGAAGCGGCGACTATAAATAAACAGATGCTTAGGTTACAACGTGGGCGAGTTATGAATGGACGTCTCGTGGGAGAAGCTGGCTGATTGAAACTCTCGAGCCCTAGTAAGAAATGTGTTTGTCATTTGGTGTTGTTGTTGTTGTTGTTTTTCCAGTTAGAGATTAATCTACATTTTTTAAAATTGTGTCCGCATTTATTCAAATTCATTCTTGGTTTGTAATACTAAATGTATGAGATCATATTGGATATGAAACCGTTGCAAGATTCATTGTGTCGTGAAATTTTGGGAGGCTTTGCGTGAGAAAGGAGTCAGCCGTAAACAATTTCAATTAACGATCTAATACCAAATGTGTTTTTATTCTAATGAAGTTGTTCCAGCGTTCACCGTCTTCTTTGAATTTAAGTGTTTTTTTGTTTTTTAAACTGTTGTGAACATTAGTCTAATAGAGGCACATTCATGACCATTTAATGATCAGTTGTAGGTTTTTTTTCAATCGTTGCATTGGTTTTTTGTGTAGAAGTTGTGAGATTTCATGCTAGAAAGCATTAATTTTAAGAAATTCATCAAGCAAAATAAAAAAAAAACCAGTTAAATATGAATAAATACGAATAATGTATTGGTTTGTGGGGCAGTTGAAGCTAATGCAATGTATGACAGATCTGCCTAGAGGGCAGATTGAAAACCAACTGTCTCAAGTGCAAGTTTGATTAAAACATATGTGACAAAAAGTTGTTATGGCTTAACTTCTCTAGGCCAGTCCCAACATAAATTCGTAAATAATTTAAGGAAATTGATAAAGAAAATAATGAAGAAAAGTGATAAGGGAAATAAATAAGGAACTCAATGAAGGAACTAAATAAGGAAATTAATGAAGGAAATAAATAATTAAATTAATGAGGGAAATAAAAAAGGAATTTTAAGCCATTTAATAATTTATTTTTAAATTTCTATATTTATTACTAAAAACGTTAAGCCTTGTGTTGGTCGAATGAGTCGGTGCGCTTTCTGTGTATGCCGAAAAGATCCTATCACATCTTCACAGCGGCATAGTTAACATAGATTTATGTCATGGATTCACTGTTCAATATTTACCACATTTTTAAGATCATGCATTCACTATTCAATATTTACCACATTTTTAAGATCATGCATTCACTGTTCAATATATACCACATTTTCAGATCATGCATTCACTGTTCAATATTTACAACATTTTCAGATCATGCATTCACTGTTCAATATTTACCACATTTTCAGATCATGCATTCACTGTTCAATATTTACCACATTTTCTGATCATGCATTCACTGTTCAATATTTACCACATTTTTAAGATCATGCATTCACTATTCAATATTTACCACATTTTCAGATCATGCATTCACTGTTCAATATATACCACATTTTCAGATCATGCATTCACTATTCAATATTTACCACTTTTTCAGATCATGCATTCACTGTTCAATAGTTACCCTATTTTCAGATCATGCAATCACAGCGGCATATTTGCCCTATTTTCAGATCATGCAATCACAGCTGCATATTTACCATATTTGCAGATCATGCAATCACAGCTGCATATGTACCATAGTTTCAGATCATGCAATCACAGCTGCATATGTACCATAGTTTCAGATCATGCAATCACAGCTGCATATGTACCATAGTTTCAGATCATGCAATCACAGGTGCATATGTACCATAGTTTCAGATCATGCAATCACAGCTGCATATTTACCATAGTTTTAGATCATGCAATCACAGCTGCATATTTACCATAGTTTCAGATCATGCAATCACAGCTGCATATTTACCATAGTTTCAGATCATGCAATCACAGCTGCATATTTACCATAGTTTCAGATCATGCAATCACAGCTGCATATTTACCATAGTTTCAGATCATGCGATCACAGCTGCATATGTACCATAGTTTCAGATCATGCAATCACAGCTGCATATTTACCATAGTTTCAGATCATGCAATCACAGCTGCATATTTAACATAGTTTCAGATCATGCAATCACAGCTGCATATTTACCAAAGTTCCTGATCATGCAAGCACGGCTGCATATTTACCATAGTTTCAGATCATGCAATCACAGCTGCATATTTACCATAGTTTCAGATCATGCAATCACAGCTGCATATTTACCATAGTTTCAGATCATGCAATCACAGCTGCATATGTACCATAGTTTCAGATCATGCAATCACAGCTGCATATTTACCATAGTTTCAGATCATGCAATCACAGCTGCATATTTACCATAGTTTCAGATCATGCAATCACAACTGCATATTTACCAAAGTTCCTGGTCATGCAAGCACGGCTGCATATTTACCATAGTTTCAGGTCATGCATTCACTGTTGAATACTTACCACTTCAGGTTCAAAGAAAGTTTAAGCTGACTAACTTCCAAGTGACCCCGCACTCGACCCATTTTCTGGTGTTATCGAACCATTTCCTTTACATTGTGCGTTATCATAATCTCCCTAAGGATATAGTTTCTTAACCTTTTTTTAATAAAAAATTGTTTAAGCTGTCGGATAAATTGTGTGGAGTCATATTCACTAAAAAATTATGAATGAATTAAATCTTACAACCCCTAAAGACAAGTCTTACGTATAAATCCTTTATATGAATTTTTGTTTGTTGGCATTTATGTAATTGTACGTGATTTATCATTTATTAAAGAGACGGTTATGGACATGAATAAACTTCTGGTGTAAACACGTTTCATATTTCCGTCATTTTCCCCTTCAAAAATACATTTTATTTTGACTGCAAGCCCAAATACGTTACAGATACAAAATACATAGCAACAGCTAATCAAATAATCTCCAAACCAAAAGACGTGCACCCATTGTATTATACCCCCCCCCCCCCCCCCCGGGGCCGTGAAAAACAAGAAAAACTGTTTTGGTTGAGGATGTGGGACGGGGGCTTAAAATTTGATAGAATTTGTTGCAACGAGTCCATGTGCAAAGATTCAGCCCGACAGGATGTCGGGAAGTGGGTCAGTTAGCCTTCCAAAGATTTTGCCGCCATAAAGAAAAAAACAAAGTACGAACAAGTTCACGAAAGTGAAGTTAATATAACAGATTAAACAATATGCATTTCTTACACAATTTTTAAAACAAGTTGTCACACTTCCCCATAAAAGCTTCGTGGATATGTTAATCAATTAACAGGTGTCAGTAAATGCAAGACTTAGAACCCTTGCCTTAGACGGCCAGAAATTGTCGTTTGTTTTATTCATATGATATAATTATAGAAATTGATATTGTTCAATGGAAAAATAACGTGACATATAGAATATAATTCACAATGTCTTCTTCCTCTTTTTAAGGCAAAGACACCATACACACCACGTGCACGGATTGATGCTGTATTGATTTCGCGATGTGGCCAGGACTACTATCAAGTTACAGCAATCGACATTTTTGGACTAAGACTTCATCTTTAAATATATGACGGTGCAGACATTCTTCTCATTCTTCTATGCATTCTGACAATTGACGTGAAAGAACGCAACGGGGCCTTCCAATCTTTAGGCAGATGTAAAGAAAAGTAAGCGGCCTTCTTATGAAATTTACCACCAACTTCCCCGCCATGTTGATCCAAAGCAGCAAGCCGTTCAGCGCCCCCAAGCACCAGGGCAAGACGAAATGTCCAGTTTACGCCCTCTACGTCAATGACCTACCGGACGAGGTGCTCATCAGGATCTTCAGCTTCTTCAAACCCATCGAAGACGACCTCCCGGTCCTCGCCATGGTCTGCCGGAAGTGGCGCAGAATTCTGCAGACGACGGGTCAGCTGTGGCGTGACCTGTACATCAACCCGTCGGTGTACGAGTACTACCACTTCAGCATGGTCTGCTGCGTGTTCCGTGTGTACGGCTTCCACGTCCACCGACTGACCTGGTACAAGAACTCCCCCGTCTACGAGAGCATGTTCGCCCTCATCCCCAGACTGTACAACCTCCGGTACCTCAGCCTCCCCATCCTGTGGACGCGGGCCGTGGTCGAGAACCTGCAGAACCTGAACCAGCTGGAGCACATTCAGATCAACGGCGGCTTCGCCCTGACGGACGACGACCTCGAACTCATCTCGGAATCGTTCCCGAATTTAAAAAACGTCTCGCTGAACGCTTGCTGGAGGGTCACCTCCACCGGCGTGGACAGTTTTCTTTCGTCGCTGGACCGCCTGGAGACATTCAAGTTGAAAATCAACTCAGGGCTTCCGCTGCACGATGTCAGAAGCGAGCAAGCCATGAGGGAGGGCGGCCATATCGCCCACGCCGTGTCGGAAACATTGCACTCTCACTGCCTTAGTGTCATGTGCCTTCATTTTGTGCCGATTGAAATGGACGAGCTTTGGACGGTGGTCAAGCGACTGACCAGTCTGAGGAAACTCAGCATTAGCAATTGTGAGGTAAGAAGGATACCCGTTTAAGAGTGGCTGGCTGTTTTATATTTAAAAAAATATATATATATTTTAAAAAGTCTGGTAAATAAAGTAATCAGATAGCGATAGAGATGGTTAAACCACACCGTCAAGGCAAATTTAAAAAAAATGAAATCGCTAAATGAATTGATATACTATATTTAAAGTCAAAGTTTTTAGAATCAAACTGGCGCTATGTATATCCACGTGTCCAGTTCGTACAGGAGAAAACACAACTCTCCGGGAACAAGTAACTTTGTTTTAGTTATTGTGAATTTATTTTAACTGATCGCTGGGATACAATTTTTTACTCAAAATAGAAGCTGTGTTCATTCACTCCTATTAAAATAAAAACAATAATAAAGTTGCCTGACTTGATTGACTCCTCTCATAAAAAGGTTCTGATCCTATCAAATAGGTCCCCAAAAATATAAACCAGCATTCTTGAAGTTTGACAGTACTAAAATCTGTGTTGACAAGTCTATAGATCTCATCGTCTTGTTTGTACGTGCGCGTTGGCTGTGCCGATATTGAAGTTTTCATACTAAGCGTATGTCAAGTTGAAGTTATGACCCGAAGGTTTTTAATAGTGTTATAAGAAACGCTCACCATTTATTTCATCAGCACAAGTTATCCTATAGATAAAACTATTAATATTAATAATACCCGTACATCAAATAGGAAAAGTTACTACAAAGAATTTGACATTCCACGTTGTCACTCCTGGAACGGAATTCTGGCATCGCGTTTTGTAACATTGTTACAATGTGGCGTTACGAAATACGTCATTTATCAAATGATATAATGTCTTTTCCTAAAATAAGTTGGTATTGGTAATCATAAGTGAGAACGAAATGGATTAGCAAATAAAGTACTGCGATGGTCCACGCTTCTTAAGTTTCGATGTCTCCAGAACATCATAAAGTTAGGGTAAAACTCACCGCAACGTTTCATGGACATCTTGCGTCTCTCAGTGTTATGAACATCTTGCATCTCTCAGTGTTATGAACACAATTCACCGTTGACATGAAATCATCGAAATAAATAGACCGCAACGTTTCATGGACATCTTGCATCTCTCAGTGTTATGAACACAATTGACCGTTGACATGAAATCATCGAAATAAAATCTCTCAGTGTTATGAACACAATTCACCGTTGACATGAAATCATCGAAATAAAATCTCTCAGTGTTATGAACACAATTCACCGTTGACATGAAATCATCGAAATAAATAGATACACGTGACGGCAATAGTCAGAGTAACCGCCGATACCCGGAGTGCACCAACCATTTTGAGAACCGCAGCTTCTGATGTGTTAGCTTTACCGTTGCAGGTCAGTTGTGTCTTTAGTACCCGCAGGTCACACTGGCGCTCTAATCCCATTCATCGGTGTAGAACACAGAAACAGTAGGCCTCTAATACATAGTAGATAAACTTCGCGTCATGCAGTCATGCTATGGTATCATCAATGGTATGTAGTTATAGCTTCGGTGGTGGTGGTGGTGGTGCATTGTTTTACTTAGTTTAGATCAATGTTATTCAAGGTGATGGCCTGCCGGCTTGCATCGGTCTGCAAGTAACCTGTCAGCAAAAAAAAAACAAAACAAAAAACAAACAAACAAACAAAAACAAAAACAAAAAACAAACAAACAAAAAACAACAACAAATCATTAAAAGCTGTAAGAAGGTCGGAAGAGACCAATGCTCAATAAATGGGGAGCACACATCGCTGCTGCTATATTATTATCGCGAATTCCTACCGGTAAGTCAAGTCAAACTATCAAGAAGCACTGAATAGATAAGGCTCTCAGTCCACCAGGGATATGCATTTTCAGCGCAAATAGGGATTTTTTTAAAGGACATATTCTGTACGTTTGAATTTTCTCTCACCCACCATCCATTTACAGTTGTTTAAAAAAAATAATAATTAAAATGCATTGCTTTATCAGGCTTATTCCACTATTTAAGGCCTTAAGAAGTCCGAATTATTTGAGCAGACCAAATACTTCCACTGCCGTAGCTAGGGTTAGTGCCGCCCGGGGGGGGGGGGCGACCTCCCCGCCCTTCCCTACGCCAGTGAGTACATGATCTTTATTTGGATGTGCAAGAAAATAAACGTAAAGGTTGATCCTGCTCTTGTTATCCCACCCTGCTTTATCAGGCTTATTCCACTATTTAAGGCCTTAAGAAGTCCGAATTATTTGAGCAGACCAAATACTTCCCCTGCCGTAGCGAGGGTTAGGGCCGCCCGGGGGGGGGGGGGCGACCTCCCCGCCCTTCCCTACGCCAGTGAGTACATGATCTTTATTTGGATGTGCAAGAAAATAAACGTAAAGGTTGATCCTGCTCTTGTTATCCCACCCTGCAATGATTCAACCTGCTCATGAACAGCATGGGATTAACACAGCTGTTAGGGAATACACTTTAACACTGGGGCTTACTGTGCGCTCTTAGCGTTATCATCATCATACATCTGGCCAGATTGTTCAACATACTCTTATTTCTGGGCCCCAGGCATATTATAATTGTGGGCCCCCATGAGTTTAAAAATAATTGTATCAAACGGAATTGTATCCGGAAAAAAAATTCGAATGGCTTATCGCACTACGTCTGCACGCCCTATGATTGCACTCAGTAAACATTACGTTTGGATGGACATTTAAAAAAAAATTATGAAAATATCTTAAATCGGAAGTGAGGCTCTGCAGTTGCAATTTATTGGTTAAAAAAAATATATATTGAAATAGTTGGGCGCATTTTTTGAAGAATCGTCTTATGTCGTGTTATGTCGTCTTATGTCGGGTTATGTCGGGTTATGTCGTGTTATGTCGGGTTCAAGTACAAAAAGTAAAAATTACATCGATAATTGTTTAATAAAAAAAAAAAATGAATCCATTTATTTAAGGGCCACCCATAACTGACGCCCGCTGTTTGCGGCCATAATTTAGCCCCTCTCCCCCACCCCCTCGTCACAAATTGGACACAAAGATGAAGGGGCCCTCGCGCTACATCGTCGCAAACTCGTGATCGCCGCCCCCCCCCCTTCTCCTTTATTTTCCCCAAGATACGTGACGTCATTTATTGTGGGGAGTTTGGCAAATATTAAATCAATCTGGACAAGCAGACGATACAGCCCGGGTTTTTCCCCGCGCCAACTCAGCAAGAAATTTTACATTTGGCGCAAACTACGAAGCCGTTCCTTATGTTGTGGTAGATTTTTCAGTAGTTGTTGTTGATGTAGTTGTTGTAATTTTTGTTGTTGGATTTGTTGTTGTAAATTTTGTTGTTATAGTTCTTGTTGTTGTTTTGTTTTATGTCGAATAACTGGTTTAACATGGGCTGGTAAAAAAATGTGAAAATTCATATAAGACAAAGATAAGATTATTTATTGATGCAAATGAAGGGAATTTGTTACTGTTGACATTGTACACATTCATGGTTTAGAACATTAACAGATCCACATTTTGAACCAAGAATACATTTTATAATTATAACAATTTAAACATTGTGGAGGGGTGGGAGGTGGGGGGTTGGGGGGGGGGGAGCACGCTGGTCAATTTGTACAGATTGGAAACAAAATAATTTAAAAAATCTTTTTGTCCCAATTGTAAGAGAAATAAATCGCCCTGATCGAGCTGATCTTAGTCATCGGTGGTGAGGAGGCTGGGGGTGTACCACAGTGACGTAGCTAGGGTTGGTGTCAACTGTGCGGTTAAACACCCCCCCCCCCCCACGGATTCCATGACTATCGTCTGCAGATACTGGGGTGTGAGATTAACTTCCTCAAGCAGATGAGCCCAAAAGGTAAAGGTCGCAGATAAACGTGAAAGCAAAGACTGAATATTAGAAAAGACCTTGTGGTGTTTGGCAATCGTGGTCACGTGTTCAGGGGGGCGGTGCTGGTAAAAAATCAACGAACATATTAATTTTTGAGCAATTGTTCCACAGTGTGGGGGCTTTTTTTAAAAAAAACTTTTCTTTAAAATTAAATTTAAAATAAATTAAAATAAATTTTTAAAAGAAATTAACCAATTTTGTAAACTATTGTTTTAAAGACCCTATAAATGGATACAATTCATGTTTTAAGATTTTTTAAAATTTTTACCAATCGATTCATTTACTTAGAATCGCCCGACCATATCGTATTTGGTATCAAAGGAAAGTTTTATTTCTCAGAATGTATATATAAAATGTGTGTATAGATATATATAGCTTCGTGTCACTTACGGAAGTTAACCGCTCATATTTTTTGATGCATCAACCTTGAACTTCGAATAATGCACGCACTTGGATTGGTTTCATGTGTTGGGAATGTACGTGTGATCGGTTATCCTTTAACGAAATCGTTTAGACAGAGCATGTTCTGTAAAATTGCACTTTTTCAAGATGGTGTTATCCCCCCCCCCCCTTGTGATGATTTCATCCGGTGCGGTCCGCACCCGTCGCACCCCCTAGCTACGCCACTGGTGCATCATCTCAAGATTGGTCTCATGTGGTTATCCTTTAACGAAATCGTTTAGACAGAGCATGTTCTGTAAAATTGCACTTTTTCAAGATGGTGTTATCCCCCCCCCCCCCTTGTGATGATTTCATCCGGTGCGGTCCGCACCCGTCGCACCCCCTAGCTACGCCACTGGTGCATCATCTCAAGATTGGTCTCATGATGGGACAGTTCTTATTATTTTAAAAGCAAAAATTTTGGTCTTGTTTGTGATAGTGTCAGCAAACCGTAATCCCCTAATGTAAGACGAATTCTGAAGTAACGTCAAAGTATTAAATACATTTTTCTGTTTTTTTTTAAAATGAAATTTAGTGAATTAATTGGACATTTTTTGGGATGACGCCCTTATGATTATTGCCATGTTAGGTGTTCATGACCATTTGAAGGTTGGGGGGGGGTGAAATGTACATTTAAAGTTTCACAAAGTATCGGTTGTAAATAATTAATTATCGAATATGTTGTCCACAATTACCATCAAGGCTGTTGGGCCCATTTCTGATTTAACAGATGAGTGCTCTACCACAATTAACAGCATCAAGACCATCGCGCCCATATATGACTTAACACATAAGCGCCTTACACGTGGAACAAACATGGCGCACACAAGGGGCAGGTAACCCATTCATGGGAGTAACCGAAACAAAAACTCCATGGGATTTCATCACAGGAGCATGGTGACGTGGCGGAGCGCGTGACAGGCATGCACGCGCCTATGAGTCATCAACGCGATCCTTATCGTCTGCTTGTCCAGATTGATTCAGATATCCGAATTCAACGAACGTACATTTTAATTTAATTGCTATAACATGTTGTTGTTGTTCCACGTATTACCCTTGAATAATAAGCCGCCTATCTTTCTGTCATTTTTTTTTTTAAACCACAAACCAAAAATAAATACATCACATAATATTAGCATATGCTACTTAAAATAATCCACGCCCTCCATGAGCACCCCCTCCCACCCCCCACCCCCAACCGAACTCGAGTTTATGTCAACACGGCTGTCAGTCAATCAGATATGACAGCGGTAGACATGGAGCACACAATAAACTCTCTAATTACTCAAATCAATGTTGGCTGAACAAATTTGTTTTGCTTCAATTCCACGCGTGGTTGATATCCGTAATCCAGGGCTCCCCAACCTGGAGTGCTTTGAAACCCCCCAGGGGTTTGCGAGATGGCAGTNAAAAAAAAAAAAAAAAAAAAATCCCCCCCCCCCCCCCCCCCCGCGATGCAACGAAACAGCGAATTTGAAGTGGATATTTTATTTTCCGAATCCTTCCGATCAATACATTGCATCGTCCACCGTCGAACTCAGCGCCTTCAGACAATTTCATGACGTCAGCGTGACATATATTTTCGAACACAGGGGTTCTCAACCGTTTTTTTTTAAAAACGATTCCTTGTTCTGGCTACCAATGGTATCACACAACAATCCGTTACCAGCTTTTTTTTGTTTTTTTGTTTTTATTTCTTGCACACCCTCAACGCCTGAAAGGTTCAGAGAAGTTTTTTGTAATAAATGATTTCACAATAAACCTGCTGTCGGGCCATACCTGCTGGTGACACACGGCACGCTAAGTGTTAGGACGCAATGCTCTTAAGAGGATAGCTCACTTCCTTATTCGAAAAAATCTTTAAATATATTAACCTTGAACTATTCTAGCAGTAACCTATTCATTATGTATGGATACAATCGGCTCTTGCAAAATCTAAAATGAGTTATTATTGAATCTTGATTAAATGATGTTTCATTAAACGAATTCAATTACTGACTGAGATTTTTTTACAACTTGAAATAAAGGGGGGAAAATAAAAATAAAGTGAAACTTCAACTGGTAAATACTGGTAAATACAAGCATTTTCTTGGATTTGAACAGTTGCGTGGAAAAGGTATAGGTGGGAAGGTGAGAAGCGCCACGGGGGGGGGGGGGGGGGGGGGGGGGGGGGGGGGGGGGGGGGGGGGGGGGGGGGGGGGGGGGCACTTTATAAATATATATATCGTATTTATGGGCGTATAACACGCACGTTTTCTCCCTGAAAATACGGGGCAAATGATGTGTGCGTGTTATAAGCCGATATAATGTCTAGTTGTTTTTTCCTGAAATTTCCTTCTTAAAATGAGGTGCGTGTTATACGCCGGTAAATACGATATATAGAATAAGGGACGGCTTTTGGCCAAATGCAGAGGGTTTTTTTTTTCCTAGGTGGGTGGCGTAACTTCTTGACCCACCCCTGGAGGCACTAACCCTAGCTACCCCAATGGATTTGAAGAAAAAAAATATTCATCCTGTGAAGTTTTCAATTATTTTTGAAATGACATGTCGTGAAAATTAATTGTTTCATGAAGAAGGAAAGCCGCAAGTTTAAGAGAGCCGAAGGAGTCAATGTTCACAGAAGGTAAAAAATACTTGCACCGTATGCAAATGTCTCTTTTTTTTTTACAGAAACTACTTGCACCGTATGCAGATAGCACATTTTTTTTACAGAAAATACTTGCACCGTATGCAGATAGCACATTTTTTTTACAGAAAATACTTGCACCGTATGCAGATAGCACATTTTTTACAGAAACTACTTGCACCGTATGCAGATACCACATTTTTTTACAGAAACTACTTGCACCGTATGCAGATACCACATTTTTTTACAGAAACTACTTGCACCGTATGGAGATATCACATTTTTTTACAGAAACTACTTGCACCGTATGCAAATAGCACATTTTTTTTACAGAAAATACTTGCACCGTATGCAGATAGAACATTTTTTTTACAGAAAATACTTGCACCGTATGCAGATAGCACATTTTTTTACAGAAACTACTTGCACCGTATGCAGATAGCACATTTTTTTACAGAAAATACTTGCACCGTATGCAGATAGCACATTTTTTTTACAGAAAATACTTGCACCGTATGCAGATAGCACATTTTTTTACAGAAACTACTTGCACCGTATGCAGATAGCACATTTTTTTTACAGAAAATACTTGCACCGTATGCAGATAGCACATTTTTTTAGAGAAACTACTTGCATCGTATGCAGATACCACATTTTTTTACAGAAACTACTTGCACCGTATGCAGATACCACATTTTTTTACAGAAACTACTTGCACCGTATGGAGATATCACATTTTTTTACAGAAACTACTTGCACCGTATGCAGATAGCACATTTTTTTTACAGAAAATACTTGCACCGTATGCAGATACCACATTTTTTTTACAGAAAATACTTGCACCGTATGCAGATAGCACATTTTTTTACAGAAACTACTTGCACCGTATGCAGATAGCACATTTTTTTTACAGAAACTACTTGCACCGTATGCAGATAGCACATTTGTTTTAGAGAAACTACTTTGCACCGTATGCAGATACCACATTTTTTTACAGAAACTACTTGCACCGTATGCAGATAGCACATTTTTTTACAGAAACTACTTGCACCGTATGGAGATATCACATTTTTTTACAGAAACTACTTGCACCGTATGCAGATATCACATTTTTTTTACAGAAACTACTTGCACCGTATGCAGATAGCACATTTTTTACAGAAACTACTTGCACCGTATGCAGATAGCACATTTTTTTACAGAAACTACTTGCACCGTATGCAGATACCATGATTTTTTACAGAAACTACTTGCACCGTATGCAGATAGCACATTTTTTTACAGAAACTACTTGCACCGTATGCAGATAGCACATTTTTTACAGAAACTGCTTGCACCGTATGCAGATAGCACATTTTTTACAGAAACTGCTTGCACCGTATGCAGATAGCACATTTTTTACAGAAACTACTTGCACCGTATGCAGATAGCACATTTTTTTTACAGAACCTACTTGCACCGTATGCAGATACCACATTTTTTTTACAGAAACTACTTGCACCGTATGCAGATACCACTTTTTTTTTTACAGAAACTACTTGCACCGTATGCAGATATCACTTTTTTTTTTTAACGAAACTACTTGCTCCGTATGCAGATATCACATTTTTTTTACAGAAACTACTTGCACCGTATGCAGATATCACATTTTTTTTTACAGAACCTACTTGCACCGTATGGAGATACCACATTTTTTTTACAGAAACTACTTGCACCGTATGCAGATACCACATTTTTTTTTACAGAAACTACTTGCACCGTATGCAGATATCACATTTTTTTTTACAGAACCTACTTGCACCGTATGCAGATACCACATTTTTTTTACAGAAACTACTTGCACCTTATGCAGATACCACATTTTTTTTTACAGAAACTACTTGCACCGTATGCAGATATCACATTATTTACAGAAACTACTTGCACCGTATGGAGATACCACATTTTTTTTACAGAAACTACTTGCACCGTATGCAGATATCACATTTTTTTTACAGAAACTACTTGCACCGTATGCAGATATCACATTTTTTTTACAGAAAATACTTGCACCGTATGCAGATATCACATTTTTTTTTACAGAACCTACTTGCACCGTATGCAGATACCACATTTTTTTTTACAGAAACTACTTGCACCGTATGCAGATATCACATTTTTTTTTACAGAAACTACTTGCACCGTATGCAGATATCACATTTTTTTTACAGAAACTACTTGCACCGTATGGAGATTTTTTCTTTTTTTTCTTTTGGATTCATTTAAACTATTGTAAATGCCCAACAACAAAAAATGCCTCCTATCATATGAATTGAGATTCACTGAAATTAGGAATGTTACCGCATGCGCTTAAATTTGTGTGTGTGTGTTCGAACATCAAAGAAAGCACCGAACAGCTTAAGACTGGGGGCCAACATTGACATATCCGATGTAAATCTTACATCAAACATAATTTTTATGACGTCCCGGGCGACAGCAATTTTGTCAACAGTATTTTTTTGCTGGGAATATTGTTTATTTCAGAAATGGGCATTGTGCGCAAATGAACTCTTTTTGTGATCAGTGAGTTGGAAATGGGTGGAGTTATCATTGATGGATACAGTTAGTGGACATTCACAACTCTCCCAGTCCAATCACCCAGAGGCGTAGCGATAGGGGGGCAGGGTGGGGACAGATGTCCCCGGGCGCCAGCTAGTTAGGTGCGCCAAAATGTGCTTTGATATTATTTTATTGAGGAAAACAATGGGTTTGAGAGTTTAAAAAACAAAAAGGGTCGCTTTAAAATGTATTTGTCCCCGGGCGCGAATCTTGTCACCGGGCGCCAAACACCCTCGCTACGCCTCTGCAATCACCACACACACACACACAAATATATATATATATATATATATATATATATATATATATATATATATATATACATTGCCCTCACCCACTTTTATCGTGTTTTTTGTACTCCACCATTTTCTTTGCCGATAATATCTGTGTCTATTTTTNAATGTGCTTTGATATTATTTTATTGAGGAAAACAATGGGTTTGAGAGTTTAAAAAACAAAAAGGGTCGCTTTAAAATGTATTTGTCCCCGGGCGCGAATCTTGTCACCGGGCGCCAAACACCCTCGCTACGCCTCTGCAATCACCACACACACACACACAAATATATATATATATATATATATATATATATATATATATATATATAAATCCATTGCCCTCAGCCACTTGTATCGTGTTGTTTGTACTCCACCATTTTCTTTGCCGATAATAACTGTGACTATTTTGATGACGTCATCTCGGTTGCAATTGTTTCATTGCAATCGCCACCAACGTGTCATCGTACACCTTCCCCTAAAGTGTCCACTGACACCCGCCACAACGTGTCTCTTACACCCGCCACAACGTGTCTCTTACACCCGCCACCAAGGTGTCCTCTTACACCCCCCACCAAGGTGTCCTCTGACACCCGCCGCCAAGGTGTCCTCTGACACCCGCCACCAAGGTGTCCTCTGACATCCGCCGCCAAGGTGTCCTCTGACACCCGCTACCAAGGTGTCCTCTGACACCCGCCACCAATGTGTCCTCTGATACCCGCCACCAAGGTGTCCTCTGACACCCGCCGCCAACGTGTCCTCTGACACCCGCCACCAATGTGTCCTCTGATACCCGCCACCAAGGTGTCCTCTTACACCCGCCACCAAGGTGTACTCTTACACCCACAACCAAGGTGTCCTCTTACACCCACAACCAAGGTGTCCTCTTACATCCACAACCAGTTGCAGTTGTGTAGATCACTTCAATACCATTGTATAGCCTATGATGGGAGATGTTGCTACATAGGGAGATCATTCACAGGTTTAGAATATATCTCTTATATGTTGTTGTGCCACTCAGTGGCGTAACTAAAGTTGGTGTCGAGTATGGGCGGGCCAAGATTTTTTACACCCCCCCCACCCCTTATGAAAAAACTATGCCGTTTTCCAAAAAATGCCGCCCCTCACTATAAAGAAAAAAACAAACCCTGCGCCCTACGCACCTCCGTCCTACGTCACTGATGCAACTACGCCACTGATGCAACTGGACCCATTGGGAGACAACCTGTGACAGGAAAATGTCAATGATATGAATTGATCCGTGCACTGGCCATGCATGACCCGCAATCAATATTTTATGGTTTAACTTTAATGGCAGAGTGAGAGAAGTTAAATGGTAGACAAGTTCCCTAGCCACTAAGAGACATATTCCATAGCCACTAAAAGACACGTTCCATAGCAACAAAAAGACATGTTCCATAGCCACTAAAAGACACGTTTCATAGCAACTAAAAGACATGTTCCATACCAACTAAAAGACCTGTTCCATAGAAACTAAAAGACATGTTCCATAGCAACTAAAAGACATGTTCCATACCAACTAAAAGACATGTTCCATACCAACTAAAAGACATGTTCCATACCAACTAAAAGACATGTTCCATACCAACTAAAAGACATGTTCCATACCAACTAAAAGACATGTTCCATACCAACTAAAAGACATGTTCCATAGCAACTAAAAGACATGTTCCATACCAACTAAAAGACCTGTTCCATAGAAACTAAAAGACATGTTCCATAGCAACTAAAAGACATGTTCCATACCAACTAAAAGACCTGTTCCATAGCAACTAAAAGACATGTTCCATACCAACTAAAAGACATGTTCCATACCAACTAAAAGACATGTTCCATAGAAACTAAAAGACATGTTCCATACCAACTAAAAGACCTGTTCCATAGCAACTAAAAGACATGTTCCATAGCAACTAAAAGACATGTTCCATAGAAACTGAGAGACATGTCCCATAAGCCACTAAGGGACATGTCCCATAAGCCACTAAGGGACATGTCCCGTAAGCCACTAAGGGACATGTCCCGTAAGCCACTAAGGGACATGTCCCGTAAGCCACTAAGGGACATGTCCCGTAAGCCACTAAGGGACATGTCCCGTAAGCCACTAAGGGACATGTCCCGTAAGCCACTAAGTTACATGTCCCGTAAGCCACTAAGGGACATGTCCCGTAAGCCACTAAGGGACCATATCACATTTTAAGATACTACATTTCAAATCTGCGCAGCATCTCCACGGGATTCGCCTGGTCTCCGACTCACTGCACAAGTTCTACCTCTTCAACCTCTGGAACGTTCTGTTCGTCAGCGTCGAGACCCCGGAGCTGCGCCACATCACCATAGACACCGGCATGGAGTCCATGGAGCACCTCGAGATTTTCGCACCGAGACTCAGGCGGGCGTGCATCAATGGGAGCAATGTGCTGCGTACTCTCAACATCAAGGTAAGGCCCCTACCATTTATACATCCTCTGCCTTAGGGGCCGCCCTCATTGGGAAACCACTGCTCTAAAGTAACCATTAATAACTGCACTCGACCATGTGACAATGCGTTTTTTTAAAGACATACATTTAATGCGCATCTTATGTAGACTTCCCCATAACTATTTTTCAGAAGGACAATTTGTTAAGACGGAGTGGCTCAAGAAGAAACAGCCCCCCCCCCCCCCCCCCNGATGTAAAAATGGCAAGGAAATCTGTACCCCTCTCTCTCTCCCTACCCCTCTGTCTCTCTTTCCCTTACACACCCCCCTCCCTCTCTCTCTCTCTCTCTCTCTCTCTCTCTCTCCCCCCCCCCAAGTTTTTCGCTTGGCATAAGAATATGTTCTTTAAGGAAAGAAGTTGTTCAAGTTTAAAAAAAATCCTTTCTAAAACTTATCTATAAAAATGTTTCAGAGTGACAAGCTCAGTTTTCTGGAGCTCTCAAACTGTGAAGTGCTGGACATGAGGAACTTGAGGGAGCAGTTGAAGAAAAACTCGAGCCTGGTGTGTCTCAGGGTGGGCTGTCTGAGTCAGGACAGCCTGCTGTTAGACGAGGACGTCATCCCAAATTTGCAGGTAGATAACCTATTCTCGATATCTTTTAATCAAGAAATGAACAAAAAATTATTAATCGGAGATTGTATCTTAATTGATCCCCGTCTCTCACTCTCCTTCACTCTCTCATGCTCTCTTTCACTCTCTCATGCTCTCTTTCACTCTCTCATGCTCTCTTTCACTCTCTCATGCTCTCTTTCACTCTCTCATGCTCTCTTTCATTCTCTCATGCTCTCTTTCACTCTCTCATGCTCTCTTTCATTCTCTCATGCTCTCTTTCACTCTCTCATGCTCTCTTTCACTCTCTCTCCTTTTCACCGTCTCTCTTGCACACGCTATCTCTCTTTCACTCACTCTTTCTCTCTCTCTTTCAATCACACATACATTTTCAATCTTTCACGCTCTCTCTATCTCTTTCATTCCCCCTCTCTCACTTAAAAACCCCCCACCCCAGTAAAAAAAACAGAAAATTTAAATTAGAGAAGCATTGCCCTAGATAATGTCATTTCTCTCATACCCAACTCATAGCTATAGAGTCATAGATGGCGCACCATAGTGAGGCCGCTCACACAAGTAAAGCTCTCGCATGTAACAATACCAACAAGTTTGCCAAACATACTCAACTTTCAACAACAAGAACAACAACAACAACAACAACAACAACAAAAACAAAAAAAATCTACCTATGTAAACCTTGTACCACCAGGAGCTGTGCATGCTGGGAGACTTTGCGTGCGAGGCCGTCCACCTGCGGAGCCCCAGCCTGAGACTGTTCCACACGGACGCCGACAACGACCTGATCACCCTGAACCACATCTACATCACCGCCAACCACCTCTGTAAGGTGGCTCTCATCGGCATGCCGGCACTGAAGACAATGACCATCCAGGTGCGTACCGGACCTCTGTGCCCGGACCTCTGTGCCTGGACCTCTGTGCCCCCAAGCAATAGTTTAGTTGTTGTTTGTGAACGGCGTTACAGATTTAGTACTTATTGCCGTAAATGCTCTTTGAATTTTGATCATGAAATTTGCGTTGTCGTAAAAGAACCACACACAAAAAAACCCCAACACCCTAACATCTTAAAAAACACGTTTTATTTTACTTTTAACGAACACACTTGTCTGTGTTTGCCATTTACTCTCCACATAAACGGTCATTAATAAAAACAAAATAGAAAATACCCAACTTATGAATAGAATGAGCATCGATAACAATTAACAATACGCTATCAATAAGTTGATAAAATGGTCTACGATTTACCAAGCAGACGTATAACAGTTGAAAACGCCCCTACCCCACCCCCCCCCACCAAAACACCACCTCTTCCGACCATTTTTTACAAATTTAAATACACACAACTATTGAAAGATATATTTTCTATCAGATGAATGTACTTATTTGTACATCAACTTATGAATAGAATGAGCATCGATAACAATTAACAATACGCTATCAATAAGTTGATAAAATGGTCTACGATTTACCAAGCAGACGTATAACAGTTGAGAACGCCCCTACCTCCCCCCCCCCCACCAAAACACCACCTCTTCCGACCATTTTTTACAAATTTAAATACACACAACTATTGAAAGATATATTTTCTATCAGATGAATGTACTTATTTGTACACACGGACTCCTACGATAACTGATGGGTTAATAATGCAACAGTTACAATTATTGTGAATTTATTAAGACACTCAGTTAATAAAGAGCAATGCTAAATTTGCTATTGTTTCAGCCAACAACTTGTGACTCATTTATGTCATATAGTGTATTTTAACCATGTATAGTGTATTATATCTATATGTAGTGTATTACATATGTGTATAGTTTATAATATCTATGTATAGAATATTATATCTGTGTATAATGTACGTATATGTAACTGTGTATTTCAGTGTGTCAGTGTTGATGCCATCGAGCTGAATCTTTGCAGTGACGACCAGCTGCAACTGGACTCGTGTGTCATCCAAGCCCTGAGCTCCATTGGATTTCTCAGGCTCTTCGACTGCAAGGTGAGCCAATGAGCCATAAAGTCATGTAATCATACAGGCAGAAAGTCGCAGAGAGTTTTCATCATACAGTGATGTGATCATAGAGTGATAAGAACATAGAGTGATTTATTCATAAAGAGATATAATCATGGGGTGATGTTATCATAAAGAGGTAGAATCATTAAGTGATTTAATCATAAAGAGATATAATCATGGGGTGATGTTATCATAAAGAGGTAGAATCATTAAGTGATTTAATCATAAAGAGATATAATCGTAGAGTTTGCTTACACGTCCAATGATAACGCGTTCACTGATAACACGTCCAATGATAACACGTCCACTGATACACGTCCACTGATAACACGTCCACTAATAACACATATACTGATACACGTCCACTGATAACACGTCCACTGATACACGTCCAATGATAACACGTCCAATGATAACACGTCCAATGATAACACGTCCAATGATAACACGTCCACTGACACACTATCTATAACTATCATTGTTAGCGACTGTTCGAAAAATTCAGTTCAACTGTCGTTGTTAGTAAATGTTCGAATGATTCGGTTCCAATTTTCATTGTCAGTAAATGTTCGAAAGATGTAGTTCAACTGTCATTGTTGTTAAAATGCTCGAAAAAAATTCAGTTCAACTTCCATTGTTAGTAAATGTTCCGAAAGATTCAGTTCAACTGCCAGTTACCAACCCCAATGCTAGTATTTTGCCTCATATCAACATTAGCACATCGGAGCGCCATTACGATTTAAGTAATAGTACAGTGCTACAGGGAGTCAACCCCGCAACTCATCCAGTCCACTCGCCCAAATATTTTTTTTACTGACCATCTAGGACATTTTTTTACTGACCATCTAGGACATTTTTTTTTACCGACTATCTAGGACAATTTTTTTACTGACTATCTAGGACATTTTTTTTACTGACTATCTAGGACATTTTTTTACTGACTATCTAGGACATTTTTTTACTGACTATCTAGGACATTTTTTTACTGACTATCTAGGACATTTTTTTACTGACTCTCTAGGACATTTTTTACTGACTATCTAGGACATTTTTTACTGACTATCTAGGACATTTCTTTTTACTGACTTTCTAGGACATTTTTTTACTGACTATCTAGGACAATTTTTTTACTGACTATCTAGGACATTTTTTTACTGACTACCTAGGACATTTTTTTTTAATGAATGAAATCAGATTACGTGTGATACTTTCTTTGTCAAACCTTCTGATATAAGGGATATATGTCATTTATTACAACGCTCGAGGTGATAACACCTAAGGTTATAGTTTTTAGATGATGTGTTCACCAAATCTAATAAGAGAGACAAGCGAGGTAACAAGACGGATAGTCATATTGCCGCCCTTTCAACATCACCTGAACACAAAGATGGCCGCTGAGAATATTAACTAATTGAATGTTGTTTTTGATTCGCAGGTTAATCTGTTGTCTCTAACAACACCGCTGGCCCGAACGGTCGTCCTGTACAGGTGTCACGTGACCGACTATGCTTTACAGATGGCGCTGCACGGCTGTCCCAACATCAGCCACCTGAACTTGGAGAAGTGCCGAAATATTACGAAGGTAAAAAAAAATGAATAAAGCAGGCTTACTTTGGTGCACCAGTTGATAACCTAGAAGAAGATAAGAGGCCGATAGATTTTGTCTAGCGAAAACCACAGCACAGCCTCATCTCATTGAACCCAAAATAAATTTAAAAATCAAAAAGAAGTATTAATAAATTAAACGTGCATAAATCTGTGATAAATTCTTTCATTGTTTTCAGTCCTTAATATGAACTTGGCTTTTGTACGCGTGCTGCTTTCTATCTGTCTGGGTGTCTGGCAAAATCTTCCGACGGCTAACTTCCCGTCAACCTTTCGTGCTGAAACTTGGCACATAGGCTTGTGGCCGATGACAACACATTCTTTCAAATTTTCAGCCGCCCCCCCCCCCCCCAAAAAAAATATAAAAAAATTATCAGTTTTTCCTGTTTTTCAAGGGGAAGATGAAAGGAATATGCTGCCACTGATTTCAAGAAATACAATTTACCATAACTTTGGGTTTTTTTGTTTGTTTGTTTGTTTTTCTTTTGGTTTTTTTTTTGAGCTGATGAGGTGTAAACTTGATAAAATAATTCTTGATTGACCTCGACCGTTTCAGGTGTCGTTAGGCGCCCCACCACTCAAGTTCCTCAACATGTTCGGCTGCCGAGACATCCACAGGATCCAGCTGGACTGTCCGCAGCTCCTGGCCATCAACCTGGGGCAGTGCCCGAACGTCAAGCTGTACCTGGCCGGTGTCGAGCAGGAGGTCAACTCGGAATGCGACGGCGTCCAGGTGGTCAAGCCGTGTGAGAATGTCCGGTGGAGTCATGACTACCCCCCGCAGCTGTATGTGTGTGGCTGACCCCGCCGGGGGGCGGGGGGTTGGATAGGATGACGTTGGAAGAAATTGTTTTAAAAGAGACACGTTGCCGTGTCATTGCCGTGTCAAGTCATAGACTTCCTTAAAGCCACTGATGGCCTATGTTTGTATTGTCTTCCAAATCAAGGTTGATGAAATCTTTTAGGTGATCTAACAACGAAGACCGCAAACGATGTCGTTAGGAGTAGATGTGCTGGTAGACGATGACATCTTAATGTCAAGAGAGAGATGGAATGAGGGGGAGATATAGTGAGAGGAAGAGAGACAGGGACAAAAAGATAGAGAGGGGCAAAGAGAATGAGAAAGGGAGAGAGAGGGGAAGAAAGGGAGAGGGAGAAATGTGGAGAGGGGGGAAATGTAACGAGAAGGGGAGGGAGAGAGGGAAGAGAGAGAGAGAGCAGGAGAAAGAGAGAGAACGTGAGGGGGGAGGGACAGTGAGAGAGAGAGAGAGAGAGATTGCGCAACAAGATTACAATTTACAAGAAGGACGTAATGTCTACGTACACTGCTTGTTTGATATACACACGTTAAGGGTTTTGAAAAGATTGCATTGACTCGAGAAGAGATGGACCGAATGCTACTGTTAGCAATTTATCGTTTTCAATTATACATTTTGTGTAAAAGAAATGTATGAACCTGTAAAAGTGCAAGTGGAATGTAAGTCTACAACACAAAGCAGCAGTTTTCTAATGTTTTTTTTTGTTTTTAAAGTTTTGGACAAATTAATATGACATACTTACTGAGTATTTTTATTGTTGCTTTTGTTGTTCTTAATGTTTGGTACAGAACTTCATGCTCATACATAGGTGAAGAGATTGTGTCATAGAGTCTATAAGAGATGGTGCTGCCAAGTCTGTGAGAGATTGTGTCACAGAGTCTATAAGAGATGGTGTTGCCAAGTCTGGGAGAGATTGTGTCACAGAGTCTATAAGAGATGGTGTTGCCAAGTCTATGAGAGATTGTGTCACAGAGTCTATAAGAGATGGTGTTGCCAAGTCTATGAGAGATTGTGTCACAGAGTCTATAAAAGATGGTGCTGCCAAGTCTATGAGAGATTGTGTCACAGAGTCTATAAGAGATGGTGCTGCCAAGTCTATGAGAGATTGTGTCACAGAGTCTATAAGAGATGGTGTTGCCAAGTCTATGAGAGATTGTGTCACAGAGTCTATAAGAGATGGTGTTGCCAAGTCTAAGAGAGATTGTGTCACAGGGTCTATAAGATATGGTGTTGCCAAGTCTATGAGAGATTGTGTCACAGGGTCTATAAGATATGGTGTTGCCAAGTCTATGAGAGATTGTGTCACAGGGTCTATAAGAGATGCTGCTGCCAAGTCTATGAGAGATTATGTCACAGAGTCTATAAGAGATGGTGCTGCCAAGTCTAGGAGAGATTGTGTCACGGAGTCTATAAGAGATGGTTTTGCCAAGTCTATGAGAGAATGTGTGTTGGCAAAACTATGTTCGATATATATAGTTGTTTTTTTTCTTCATGTTTGTTTACATATCTGATTCGTCTTTTTCATTTTATATCTATGATTGGATATCGGTTTCAACATAGTTGAATTTTTTTTATTTAAAATTTTTTTTTTTTTTTAAACGTTGATTATCACTTATTATTTGTGAAAGAAACACTGTGGCCACATTGGCACTCTTCACTAAACGTTTCGCTCTATCCACTAATGAGCGCATAGAAATGATCCACCTGCTTCTTTTCATTAGCGTTTGTGATCATATTTTTTTATATTGTAATTGTTATTAAAGCTTTCAAGGTGGAAGATATTTATTTTTTAAATTTATTCAAGCTATTAATATTAAGCGTGTCTGGTAAAGAAAGTATCAACATACTCTTGTTCAAATCAGAGCAATTCTTGTGTAAATTTATACATATTTTTGCAATACTACTAATTCTACAACTTGATGCCTTATTTTTTACTATATTGGTTGTTATATGTTTACTTTTCATGTGATTATCCCCAATGTTAGTTATCAATAACTTATCAATAATTTATCAGTTTTTACCAATGACCAACGCACAATAACTTATCCCCATATTGTTGCTATGCTATTGTTGTTGCCATTACGTCATTGTTATTTTTGAATTGTTGCTTGAAGACAATAAATGGAATTTTGCAATCTGCTGGTGGTTTTTTTTTAAATTTAATTTAAAATTAATGTCTGTTAGCCACTTGCACTTCTTTCGTCAATGAGATTTGTGTTGTACCAATGAGAGGTGTGTTGTACCAATGACATGTGTGTTGTACCAATGAGAGGTGTGTTGTACCAATGACATGTGTGTTGTACCAATGAGTTTTGTGTCGTACCAATGAGAGGTGTGTTGTAACAATGAGAGGTGTGTTGTACCAATGAGAGGTGTGTTTACCAATGAGTTGTGTGTTGTACCAACGAGAGGTGTGTTGTAACAATGAGTTGTTTTTTGTACCAATGAGAGGCGTGTTGTACCAATGAGAGGTGTATTTTCCAATGAGAGGTGTGTTGTACCAATGAGAGGTGTGTTGTACCAATGAGAGGTGTGTTGTACCAATGAGATGTGTGTTGCACCAATGAGTTGTGTCTTGTACCAATGAGATGTGTTTTGTACTAATGAGATGTGTGGCGTACCAATAAGAGGTGTTTTGTACCAATGAGTTGTGTATTGTACCAATCAGATGTGCGTTGTACCAATCAGATGTGTGTTATTTATAGGAGACATCTGGAGACTGGTATGCGCAGATACAGGGTACATAATTATTGCCACACACCACATACACACACACACATCTAGATACATGACAAGATTACCCTGCCACACACCACACCCACACACACACACCTAGAAACATGACAAGATTTTCCAATCACTGCAACATACTCAACGATATCGATCAGCTGGTTTGAACGCTTGTGATTAATCGTTTCAAGCGAAAATGCTCCACCTCCACTGCTTCCTATGCCCCCACCCCCAGGTAAGTATTGTTGAGAAAAAAATAATCAATATACAGCGCGGGTGTGCTGATAGATTCTCATAGTTTATGGTCTGCTGATTTGAAGTCCCCAGGCTACACACTTGGCCCATGGCACGCAGCACAGCACCCCCTCCCCTTTTCCACACACACAGACAAACATTTCCGCCAAAAAGGCAACTACTGTTCACAAATGTCAGTAGTGCGATCTCTGTATTTATTTAAAGTATATAATTACAGTATAGGTTTTCAATAACTTAGTGATGTGATCAGTGTCAAGACTATTGAAGCGTAAAAGTGGTTACGTAATACTGAAGTTGTGTCAAAACAAAGGGCGAATCCAAAATTCTAATCAAGTATAATACTGAAGTTATGTCAAAACAAAGGTGTGTTCGAGATGCTTCTTTGCCTAGTATTGAAAAGCATATTTTTACTGCTTGCAAGGGCTACTCTGCGAGGGTATCAGGAACTGTGGGTTGGAAGGGATGAGGTAATAGACGCAAATGTGTCAAGTGTTGTCGCCTCAACTGTTCCTTTTGGAAGCTTGTTCCAGTCCCTGATTGTCGTTGACAGGACTGAGCAGTTCCTGAATTGTGTCCTTGTTGTGATAAGCCGGAACTGTCTGTCATGGTCTCGTCGCTGTCTAGGGGGAGAGGAACGAGTTTCTGTGTAATGTTGGAGCAGTGGACCAGCCCATTTTTTACCTTGTCCATCATGGTGAGCCTGGTTAGCTGTCACCGTTCCTCCAATGGTGACCAGCCCAGTGTTGTCCAGCATGCTGCCAACACTTGATGTGCTTCTGGATGGTGACCAGCCCAGTGTTGTCCAGCATGCTGCCAACACTTGATGTGGTTCTGGATGGTGACCAGCCCAGTGTTGTCCAGCATGCTGCCAACACTTGATGTGCTTCTGGATGGTGACCAGCCCAGTGTTGTCCAGCATGCTGCCAACACTTGATGTGCTTCTGGATGGTGACCAGCCCAGTGTTGTCCAGCATGCTGCCAACACTTGATGTGCTTCTGGATGGTGACCAGCCCAGTGTTGTCCAGCATGCTGCCACCACTTGATGTGCTTCTGGAGCGGTTCAGGACAAAGCGGGCTACCCGGCGCTGGACCGCCTCCAACCTGTCGGTGCTCTGGGGGGGGGGTGGGGGGTGGGGGCGGGGGGTATTGCTCACTTTGAGAGTCAATGCTTTATACTTTATAGGATACAATGTCAGTGTGCTAAGAGACGTCATTTTCAGTTTACTATGAGACGTCATTGTCAGAGTACTATGAGACGTCATTGTCGGTGTACCACGAGACGTCATTGTCGGTGTACCACGAGACGTCATTGTCAGAGTACTATGAGACGTCATTGTCAGAGTACTATGAGACGTCATTGTCGGTGTACCACGAGACGTCATTGTCAGTGTACTATGAGACGTCATTGTCAGTGTACTGTGTACTTTTTGTCTATCAATGACACACTGAAGTTAACTGAAGTTAAATTGACCAAATATTCCATCAGTCAAGGGTACGAGAATCACTGTTGTTAAGTGTGTGTGTGGGGGTGTGTTACAGTAAGTTATGTTCACCCGAAAATGTGTGAGTATGAGTGAACAAGGCGTGAAATTGTCGTTGATGGGCGGGTTAAGGTGTGTGTATGTGGTGTGTCAGGAGAGAGAAGGTTGGTTGGTCAAGAGTCACGGCGAGGCATTTGTGTGCAGGGGGGCTACTTCTCTGCTGGACGTCATGAAGTGGTGCTTTCGTTGTTGGTTCCAAGTGGATTTTTGAATACGGTGCGAACATGTCTACTCAATGTTGTGATGAAGTGGAATAAATGTATAGCATGACATGAACTCTTCAGTGCGGCAGTGAATTGAAATAAACGCACAGTCTCAAGTTACACTCTTCAGCGCCATGATGAAGTTTAAGACAACATCTACAAAAATAGTCGGACATAAGGTTGGGTGTATATTTGTCACCATCCTTGTTTATACTTCGCAACTCTTTCGAACTGTTCTAAATGTAACAAATTATTTTTTATTTTTTTTACATTTTACTTAAACATTACACACCCACTCCCCCCCCCCCCCAAATTTTTTTTTATTTTTTTTTAATTTTATTTTAAAATTTCAACCCCCCTCCCCCCCCCCCCCAATTATTTTATTTTTTTTTTTAAATTATCGTGTAAATCCTTTTTATTATTTATCCAATTGGCGGGGGTTGGGGGCTGAATATTTGGAAGGTTTTCTCATAGGCAACGCGTCTCTGGTCCACGCGTCTCTGTACGAGTTTCAAGAGAAGTTCAACACAGAATAGAATGCTTTTCGTTAAATACAAAATAGGTTCGACCTTCATTGCCAAAAGCAGGGCCCCGGGCAGGCTTAACATTGGCGCCCCTTTTAAGTATAATCATAAAAAATACGTGCAAGGAGAAAACTATGGATTAGGTAATGAGTTTGTTACCTAGGTTGTTCATTTTAACAAACAATAAAATGCTTTCTCTTAACTTGTATTTGGACAGTATGGACAATTAATTAGCCTACCGTGGGAAGTATGAACAATTAGCCTACCGTGGGAAGTATGAACAATTAGCCTACCGTGGGAAGTATGAACAATTAGCCTACCGTGGACAGTATGAACAATTAGCCTACCGTGGGTAGTATGAACAATTAGCCTACCGTGGACAGTATGAACAATTAGCCTACCGTGGGCAGTATGAACAATTTGCCTACCGTGGGCAGTATGATCAATGTTCCTACCGTGGGCAGTATGAACAATTAGCCTACCGTGGGCAGTAAAAACAATTAGCCTACCGTGGACAGTATGAACAATTAGCCTACCGTGGTCAGTATGAACAATTAGTCTACCGTGGGCAGTATGAACAATTAGCCTACCGATGATTTCTTTTGTCTAGCCTTTTGATCAGCAAATATTTCTATTGCACTTTCTAATTTTCTTCCATGTCGCCCACATGCAATTATTTTTACTTTTTTTTTGGGAAAGTGCCCGAGTGACCGGAATCTTGTGCCGGGCCCTGGTCCAATGACACAGAATCATTCACTGACATAACATTAGTCGCAAAGATATTGGAATGTATTTAGTTTCGTGATTTTATTTTTTAAAAGGCGCCATAAAAAAATCGAGTTTCCATAATATTCTTTCCGATTTCGAAGATTTGTTCGTAATTAAACAATTAAAAAAAAAAATATATATGTGAGTTTGCGATCCTGCCTCGCAAACTCCCCACCTCCCCTTTGAAATGCCCACTCTCACCCCTTGAGACACGAGCAACTGCCATATGTCACTTCACTAGAACACAAAGCACAATCTTTCAATGAGTGTAGGAGCCACTTCATCAAATCCATTCGGGGTGGCTGTGTCTTGTGTTCACCGATATATCACCTCAACCCCAAGAGTCTCCCACAAACAACACGACCGGTGCTGTGACTTAGGGCCTGTGATAGGAAAAACACTGCATTGTATGACTGGCCCAATTGAAATGCCGCGTGCTGCGAAAGGGTTTGTTTTGTGTATGCAGGGGGGGTGGTGGTGGCGGTAGAGGGGGTGGCGGTAGTGGGGTTGGGGGTGGGTCACATTGCGTTGGGTTTTTTTACTCGTGTGATTCGCAGAGCTCAGTTCCTCTAAGATTGTTGCTGTTAAGAAGTGAGATTATGATGTGTTTGTATGATGTCTCGTGTGTAATCAAAACACGGATTTTTTATGATGTCTCGTGTGTAATCAAAACACGGACTTTTTATGTCTCGGGTGTAATTAAAACATGGATTTTTTATTTCTCTTGTGTAATCAAAACACGGATTTTTTATGATGTCTCGGGTGTAATCAAAACACGTGGTTTGTACGAGATCTCGGGTGCTATAAACCAAACCACGCCTGGGTGGTGCTATAAACCAAACCACGCCTGGGTGGTGCTATAAACCAAACCACGCCTGGGTGGTGCTATAAACCAAACCACGCCTGTGTGGTGCTATAAACCAAACCACGCCTGTATGGTGCTATAAACCAAACCACGCCTGGGTGGTGCTATAAACCAAACCACGCCTGTGTGGTGCTATAAACCAAACCACGCTTGTGTGGTGCTATAAACCAAACCACGCCTGTGTGATGCTATAAACCAAACCACGCCTGTGTGGTGCTATAAACCAAACCACGCCTGTGTGGTGCTATAAACCAAACCACGCCTGTGTGGTGCTATAAACCAAACCACGCCTGGGTGGTGCTATAAACCAAACCACGCCTGTGTGTGAGATAACCTTACTATCAACTTAGAACAGGGATTTTTTTGATCACTATTTGTGACATTTTATTCTTCCAATGCCTGAACAAAAGGTCAGCGGTCAGCTGTATCTTAAGCTCAATAAAAATCGCGTTCGGGTGTCTGATTTATGGTGGATTATTTATTGCGTCAGAAAGAATCTGTGCTATATAGTCTGTATACCACCTCTCTCGCTCTCTCGCTCTCTCTCTCTCTCTTTCTCTCTCTCTCTCTCTACCCAAGCAAACATCTAAAAGTGATGATTCTTATTTGAACTGTTCTTTGTAATATATGTATATATCAATTCATTTACATCCTGTGTATATCAGTGCATTTAAGTCCTGTGTATTTCGGTGCATTTACGTCCTGTGTATTTCGGTGCATTTACGTCCCGTGTATATCGGTGCTTTTACGCCCTGTGTATATCAGTGCATTTACGTCCTGTGTATTTCGGTGCATTTACGTCCTGTCTATATCAGTGCATTCACGCCCTGTGTATATCAATCTGTATAAGTCTGTATAAGTCCTTACCTATTGTTGTTTAACTTAATCTGTTTGATACATTAAGTTTCATGCCCCTGTACCCCATCATGTGGATGGCATTATATCCTCCAACTACACTATCACACCGGCGACACCGCAGACGCGTAGCTTCAGTTCATAAACGCGTCGCGGCAGCGCCTTTGACGTACCCGGTAATCGGAGAGACCCGCCTGATGCATTGATCGCACCTCCGCTGTGGGATCGTATTGAGCTTATCGGTGGCGGGGCCACACATTAAAGCCATATATCGATCTAAATAGTTCATCGATTGATTTAATTGCTATCGTTATTTCCAAAATATGAACCCGCGTGCCTCGGTGCCTGGCGCGAACACACAGAGCTGTTATCTAAGTGCAGGCCGTAGAGAATCCTTCAGTTGACTTCTTTCCATTGTTTTCTGGCGTTAACTTCAGTGCACAACGTTGTGTGCTTTCATTTTTAGGGTTTACTTTATGGTATACTTTTTTATAAATTTATATATCAATGTTTAAACCAATCAACAAAGTTACTAGTAATTATTGCCCTGTGATTCCCAGTGCCTGACTGTGTTCGACCGGATAATATTTCTTCCTGGGTTTATGAACCAATGATGTGGCTAGGGTTGGTGCCGCTGGGGACGCCTCAAGCTGTTTTGCCGCCCTTTCCACGACAAAGGCTCTTCAGTTTGGCCGAAAATGCCGTCCCTCAATATAAAGAAAAGGGTGTCGCCCAAGGCCGACCGCCCTTCTCCGCCCCCCTCTTGCTACGCCACTAACATCGCACATTCTTAACTATAATTTTAATATATCAATTTTTTAGATGGTGTTAACTCTTGCAAATTTTGACCGCAGATTTCCATCTATATGTTTAAAACGTTAAATATTGACACAGTTGAGTGGAATATTGTTACAACGTGATCGCTAACACAACTGAGTGGAATATTTTCATTTCTTGACCATCCATTCAAATGTGGTCTTAGTGGGCAGCACGGAGACAATACTTGCATCTGTTTTAGCAATCAACTCTCTCTATCATTCCTCAACACCAATCCTGACCTTTTGCTGGTCGTCATCCTTGGAGCCACAGAATCCAGGTTTAAATGTGAACCTTGCTGGACCGACACGTCAATAAACTCATACGTTAAGAGCCCAATTCAATTCAAAATTTGTTGGACCTCATCCATGGATTCAGACATGGATGGCACTGTGGATAATGACCTCAGTGAAGTTGAGCAGACTGAGGTAAATGTTTTCTTTTTTTTTTTTTTTCTTTAAAAATCTATTTTACTTTATTTCGACAAAAATAGAGCAAAAAGTTTATACGGTAAAATAAGATCTATTATTTTATTAGGATTGAACATATTGAACAGTGATCACTCTTAGCACGGTGGCCATTGTGACAGCAACAAAACAACGTCTTTGAAGTGTGTCTTAAAATGACCTCGTCTATACCAGTACTTGAATAAACTGTTCGTGGCCAGTCAAAGATAAAACTGTTCTTCCTTCTTTCTTTAATAAATTTCACTTTTAAAACGTTTAATACGCTATTTTTTGTGAAGAAATTTTTAAATTTTCCTAATCCTTATAAAGAATAATTTGTCTTTCAACCTGTTTGTTTATCCCGTGGGAATGGGCCAATCAGTGTTGTTCATTTATGTAGGTAGATGTATTGATAAGCACTCTAGCAACCGGACATGTTCCGAGAATAAAATAGAATCCCCCCCCCCCTTTTTGTAGCTAATCAACTACTGGACTGGAAAAAGGGGGGGGTGGGGCAATGCAAGTGGTAGGGCAATGCAAGTGGTGGGGCAATGCAAGTGGTGGGGCAATGCAAGGGGTGGGGCAATGCAAGGGGTGGTTTTTTGTAGCTAATCAACTACTGGACGGGAAAAAGGGGGGGGTGGGGCAATGCAAGTGGTAGGGCAATGCAAGTGGTGGGGCAATGCAAGTGGTGGGGCAATGCAAGGGGTGGGGCAATGCAAGGGGTGGGACAATGCAAGGGGTGGGGCAATGCAAGTGGTGGGGCAATGCAAGTGGTGGGGCAATGCAAGTGGTGGGGCAATGCAAGTGGTAGGAGGTAGAAGAAGAGACCTCAGGCCCCGGGCGTCAAGATCAAAGGGCGCCGAATATGACCATTGGTTGTTTAAGTGATCAATCTTGAAATCGATGAAATTTGAAATCAATGTAACATTTATTTATTTATTCTCCTGCACGACGTAGAAACTTGAACCTCATGAGGACCAGGACCAGGACAAAACCTATACTACAAATGACCAACAAGAGGACGAGCTCCATTTTCCCTCAGGTAATTTATGTGACGTCATCAGGTCTTTTCCTAGCCCCAAACAATAAAGTCGATGAGACGGCCAATGAGATTTAATTAGTGCAAACATAGTCCCAAAGTAGCATTTTAAAAATGTAACAAAAAAGTCCTCTCTTTTGTATCAGTTAAACATGCAATGAATTCTCACGTGACTACATTACAGATTCAACATTTAACAATGTATTTTAAAAGTTTCTACCACCGTTTATTGAAATATAAGCCGACCACACTATTTAAATTGTTCATAGAAAGGTGCTCACTACAAACATGTGGTAAGATTGGGAAACCCAGTGCTCTCAAATGCGAGTGATTTTTGGGGGGGACGGGAACTGGGAAGTAAAGACAAATGGAAACGTTTTCTTAATTTATTTAGTTTCCCTTCGATATGTTATCTTTTCTATATCTATTTTTAATAGAATTCCTTTTCTTAAAAAAAAGAAAACCATCACCACCCCCCCCCCCAAAAAAAAAATTATATATATATATATATATATATATATATATATATAAGAAATTCCTCACTTTTCCACTCTGGGAGATTACATAATTAGAGCAAAAAAAAACAACAACAAAACAACTGCCAACTGAAACCTATATCACACTGACAGTTTCCTAAACGAGGCTTGCAATCCTTGTGACGTATTGGTAAATAATTCGTCTTTGGGGAGAGGGTTTACAACACAACAAGACCGGTAATACATCTGTCTAATATGTGAGGGCTTGTTGTAGAATGATTCGGTTTGTAGCTGCGATTAGTTGGTTAGTTGTGAGAAGCCAGGTCTTACATCTGGTAAGTTTTTTACTGAATAACTAGTATTAAGTTAATTTTTTTTAAAGGGTATTTTATAATTATTCAGTTGGTTTTGATGTGTTGTGTGTACATGTATATGTTACACTCTTTGATAAGGACTGCCTAGAGTAGTTTTACAGCGTTCTGGGCGCCAGGTCGAACAGAATGAACCGCATAGTGAGTCTTTCGGCAGCCTTCCCCCACACCGCCTCTCCACCACACCACCCCTGCCCCACACCACGAACAACACCCCTCCCCCCACACACCAACCAAACTACCCCCTCCCCACACGACCTCTCCCCCACACACCCCTGCCCCACACCACGAACCACAACAGCCCGAACCACAACACCCCTCCCCCACACACCAACCAAACTACCCCTTCCCCACACGACCTCTCCCCCCACACCGCCCCTGCACCACACCACGAACCACAACACCCCTCCCCCACACACCAACCAAACCCTCCCTCCCACACCACTCCTCCACCACACCACCAGACAACGCAAGCGGAACCCGAATGTCTCGCACATTTTTTGTCGTATCTGACAATGTCGGCAAGGACATTATTTTCAACGGCCCTCCAAGGGTGACAGCTAGGTGTTATCGGGAGCAATGTTAGGCACTTCAACAATCCTCACACTTGAAAACACTTTTATTTGTAGTCGATATCTTTTCGAGGAAAGAGTGGCTTAAAATGATAGACACTGTATAGGTTTCTTGTATTATGATAGACACATAGTTTTCTTGTATAATGATAGACACTTTATAGTTTTCATGTATAATGATAGACACTTTATAGTTTTCATGTGTACTGATAGACACTTTATAGTTTACATGTATAATGATAGACACTTTATAGTTTTCATGTATAATGATAGACACTTTATAGTTTACATGTATAATGATAGACACTTTATAGTTTTCATGTATAATGATAGACACTTTATAGTTTTCATGTATAATGATAGACACGTTATAGTTTACATGTATAATGATAGACACTTTATAGTTTTCATGGTTCAGTGACAGAACTGTTCTCATGGTTTAGATCAGGGGTTTCTCAAACTACGGAATGCGGGGCATATCCGACCGCCCTGGCCACCGTAAAAGTTCGTGGCTATCAGCGACAAATATACTGAAACTATAGACCGGCCCCGACAGTGTTCGAGGACACTGATCCAGCCCCTGATACAGTTTGATGACCCCTGGTTTAGATCATGACCTTTGACAAATACAATGGCTCTCAAAGTTCAGCGGCGTCACTAGGGCTGGTGACACCCAGTGTGGAAAACTCGTGGTGTCACCCCCCCTCCATCTTTTTCAGACGGTCCCCATGAACCTCCTACGAGTATGTCTTGATGGCACCCTGCCCTGATGACACCCTGATTTGATGGAACCCTGCTCTGTCTGATGAACCCTGTTCCGGTGGTTCCTGCTCTGTTTGGTGAACCTTACAATTATATTCACATATGTTAATAGTGAATTTTTACACAGGAAGGGAAAACAATGGCGTCATATCAGATGCGTTTAAAGCAAAGTTCCACACTTAAAAGAGAAAGTTGGTTAAAAAAATGTTTTAAAAAAAATATTCTTGTTTAATTTTATTCAGAAGAAAAGGCGACATACGTTGTGACGTCATCCAGACCCTCGTCCCAGTCGTCGCGTTTGGTTGTAATGACGTCACGGCCGTCGTTCACGCGCACGCCTAGTAGCATGAAGCCAAACACCGAGCTGGAGAGCGAGGACGACGCGTCACAGGAGGGCGTCCTCATAACAGAACTGCAGGTGATGTAGAGCCCAGGGTTACCCCGAGGGGGGAGGGACAGGACCACTCGATGGCTTGGTGGTGGCTTTAACCAAATATTTGGTGGTGGCTTTAACCAAAGGTTTGCTGGTGGCTTTAACCAAAGGTTTGAAGGTGGCTTTAACCAAATGTTTGGTGGTGGCTTTAGCCAAAGGTTTGGTGGTGGCTTTAACCAAAGGCTTGGTGGTGGCTTTAGCCAAAGGTTTGAAGGTGGCTTTAACCAAATGTTTGGTGGTGGCTTTAGCCAAAGGTTTGGTGGTGGCTTTAACCAAAGGTTTGATGGTGGCTTTAACCAAAGGTTTGGTGGTGGCTTTAACCAAAGGTTTGGTGGTGGCTTTAACCAAAGGTTTGGTGGTGGCTTTAACCAAAGGTTTGGTGGTGGCTTTAACCAAAGGTTTGAAGGTGGCTTTAACCAAATGTTTGGTGGTGGCTTTAGCCAAAGGTTTGGTGGTGGCTTTAACCAAAGGTTTGGTGGTGGCTTTAACCAAAGGTTTGGTGGTGGCTTTCACCAAATGTTTGGTGGTGGCTTTAACCAAATGTTTGGTGGTGGCTTTAACCAAAGGCTTGAAGGGGCTTTAACCAAAGGCTTGAAGGGGGCTTTAACCAAATGTTTGGTGGTGCCTTTAACCAAAGGTTTGGTGGTGGCTTTAACCAATGGTTTGAAGGTGTCTTTAACCAAAGGTTTGAAGGTGTCTTTAACCAAAGGTTTGAAGGTGGCTTTTACCAAAGGTTTGGTGGTGGCTTTTACCAAATGTAGTCTTTACTGTGTCAAGGTGGGAACCGTGGAAGGTCAACATGGGTCAAGAACTAATGACGTTAGATAAACACGTAGATGGTCCATTGGGGTTATGATCGATGGTCACAGTTGTAGGTGGACACTGATATGATCCACTGTGTTTAAGTACTTCGATCACAAAAGTAGGTGGACTATGCGATGGTCAACAGGGTCAGGTACGAGAATTACAAATGTAGATGGACTCTGGGTTAGTACACAGTGGTTAAGTAATTTGGTCACAACAGGGGTGGACAATGGGATGGTCCACAGGGGTCAAGTACGAGAGTCACAATTGTAAGTGGACCCTGTTAAGGTCCACATTGGTTAATTTCAAATATCTCTACTGTAAAGGGACAGTGAGATCATCCACATGGGTCAAGTATGAGAGTCACAATTGTAGTTGGACCCTCGTATTGTCCACAGAAGCTCAAAAGCTCGCCCTACTGGATACACCACTAACATATTTGAATGAAAACTTGACTCAATAGTAAAATATATTTATACAATAGAATGTTACACTTCCGGTACGCACTAATAAAGTCTTGACTAAATGAAATAACATGCAGTAACTGGAATAACATGCAGTAACTGAAAGAACATGCAGTAACTGAAAGAACATGCAATAACTGAAAGAACATGCAGTAATGAAAGAACATGCAGTAACTGAAAGAACATGCATTAACTGAAAGAACATGCATTAACTGAAAGAACATGCAGTAACTGAAAGAACATGCAGTAACTGAAAGAACATGCAGTAACTGAAAGAACATGCAGTAACTGAAAGAACATGCAGTAACTGAAAGAACATGCAGTAACTGAAAGAACATGCAGTAACTGAAAGAACATGCAGTAACGGAAAGAACATGCAGTAACGGAAAGAACATGCAGTAACTGAAATAACATGCAGTAACGGAAATTATCCGATAGTGTTTCAGATGTAGCGTTCTATTGGTTAACATAACAAAGCCCAAGACGCCCCTGAGGCAGACAAACTCTAATGCTGCCTTATTATTCTGTTGTGCTACAGTAAAAAAACGTTACCATGACAACGTTTAGATACATTCACTGAAAATTACATGAAATAAATGAACACTTTGTACTATGACTCAATTCATCATCAAAGCCCTGTATCCCTCAAAATGAACACTCAATAGATATCTAAATAGACGTGTGTGTGTGTGTGTGTGTGTGTGGGTGTATTAGTAATGAGTTTACTCCCATAGGAACCAGACCATGATGAAGAGAAGGTATCGCAAGACGAACTCCAAGACGTCACAACGACAGCTGATCAGGACGATTTGGAGTTGACCAGCCCCAGTCCGCCAAATGACGTCACCGAGGAGAGTGAATTGAGGAGAGTGGAGGTGGTCATCTCGGAGGAAAAACCGGAAGAGTATTATGACACCGACCTTGAAAATGAAGGTTATTTTGCGTCTAGTCTTATCTAAATTATATTGAAATGTTTCATGCGATAAACAACACCACCATTTTGAAAAGTAATTAATAAACATCTCTTAAGACTTAGGAAGAGCTTGTCACCAAATGTTTAACCTTTGTCAGCACGGTGCTCGAGCTCTTCCTATGTAACAACACAAACACAATTCTATGTTACTGTATATATTTTGAACGCGCTATCTTTACAACGTGACTTCTCAATCCATGGGGTGCTCGCCTCCCTCAGGGGCGCGAAATGGCGGCTCGGGGCGTGCGGAAAAAAAGTAATTAAAGCACAGAGGCGCCAATTAACTTTTAAGTTATAAATGTTCATGTTGTTTTTCTTCTTGGAAATTGTACTTTATGTCAAGCGTTTATAATCAACATTCTACAGCTCAACATTCCACCGTTCTCATTTAGTTCAATAAATAAGTTTTAAAAAAAATAAAGTTTAAAATGCATCATTACTTTTGTAACCTTAGTAAACAAAAATATGTAAGGATGCAGCCAACAATTTTGTTTTTTTGGGATGGGGGCGAGGGGGAGGGGGCATTGCTTTAGCAGACTAACGAGAGATAACATTGCTCACGAATAATCATACAAGAAAAATTAAGATTAACATTAAGATGGTCTCAGATTTCTCACGCTCCAATACACCTGACTTTGTTGAGCAACGAACGGCGCACTAAGCGCTCTACATGGGTTAGCAAATTATTTCATGTTGGCAATGCATCATTTTAAAAACGTTGGTACCAGGTGCTAGCTTCAGACTTTAAGTTTTTTTTAATAAAATATTTCCTGTACAGAGGAGGAAGAAGATGACTTCGTGATATCCTACTACAAAACTGTCTGCGACGAGCTGGGCATCGCTCCCATAGATTACTTCCTAAGACGCATCAGGAACCCAAACATCCGGATGAGGTACAGGGGACTCAGCCTAGAAGCTACACGCGCCATTGCTTTGGCGCTCAAGGTGAACAGTTGGTTTTAACATTGGGGTGTGCCATTGCATTGGCGCTCAAGGTGAACAGTTGGTTTTAACATTGGGGTGTCGGTGAAAAGAGCGTTCGAAAAATTGTATGGCTTTTTATTATTTTTTTTAAAAATTGAAATATGTTTTGGCGTCCGATAGTCTAAATGAGACGATGGTGTGGTCTCAATGAGACGATGGTGTGGTCTCAAGGAGACGATGGGGAGGTCTCAAGGAGACGATGGTGTGGTCTCAATGAGACTATGGTGTGGTCTCAAGGAGACGATGGTGTGGTCTCAATGAGACGATGCTGTGGTCTCAATGAGACGATGGTGTGGTCTCAAGGAGACGATGGCGTGGTCTCAATGAGACGATGCTGTGGTCTCAATGAGACGATTGTGTGGTGTCAATGAGACGATGGTGTTGTCTCAAGGAGACGATGGTGTGGTGTCAATGAGACGATGGTGTGGTCTCAACGAGACGATGGTGTGGTCTCAACGAGACAATGGTGTGGTCTCAATGAGACGATGGTGTCCTGGGATTTTAAAATATACGCTAAATATTTATTATGGAGAAACCCTCTGGTTCCTATTCAGCTAAATTTAAATATTATTCTTTGGAATTAAAATTTGGCTTGACTTCTACATAACTTAAAGATAGGTTGAGTAGCCCTTGCAACCAGTGAAATATCCTCTTCAATGACAGGCACAGAAACATTGCGAATCCCTTCTACATAAATAGGAGCCAGAATGATCAATACATTGTTTGTGGGCCCTTAAGATATGGAGGAGGAAGTGTTTCTTCTTTATTTGGAACCCTCGTAGGTCTTTGAGCAAGGACATCGGGTTAGGGGGTTTCATGCCAATCTAAGAGTGGACCCAAACATAGATTAATATCTTCTATATCAAAGAATATATACATTGTGACATACATTGCTAAAATAGTGTTGTATTTTTCCAATATGGATTAATTAGACCAACAAATACATTGTGGCATACATTGCTAAAAATTGTGTTGTATGATTTAAATGTGGATTTTAAAATAATTTAAACGGGAAACTGTTTCCCATCAGGACAGCATAACTCTGGAGCGTCTTGACCTTTGTGGCAACTGGATAGGAAGTGAGGGCGCCACATACATGGCCAGGATGTTGGAGGAAAATGATTACGTCACAGACGTGGTGAGTGTTCGTACGCGTAGGGCGATAGATGATAGAATGATGACGTCATTGCTTTCATGAATGGAACATCGTGTAGGCTCATAGGGGTTAACTTGTCCTCGAGTAGGCCCATAAGGGTTAACTTGTCTTCGTGTAGACCCATAGGGTTTAGGGTTAACTTGTCCTCGATTAGGCCCAAGGGGGTTAGCGTTAACTTGTCCTCCAGTAGACCCAATGGGGTTAGGGTTAACACGTCCTCGATACACTGTGACTCGATTAGTTGTATACAAAGTTAACATAGAAGGTATGCAGGGATCAACAGTGTAATGATAATGAACTTAACCCAAGTTGTGGGATATATGAAGCAACGTTACAAAATTTATATAATTTTAAAAAAAGATTTTGCATAGCACATACTAATACATATCACTTTTAATGTCTTATGTTAGACTCTGTCGGAAAACAAGTTTGGGAGCATAGGAGGTGACGTAATGGCCAACATGTTGATCATAAATGGCGGACTTCGGAGATTGGATCTCTCAGGTAAACTAACAGACTTCAGTTAGAATGATCCCATTTGTTCTCAGGTAAACTAACACAGTCTTCAGTTACAATGATCCCATATGTTCTCAGGTAAACTAACACAGACTTCAGTTAGAATGATCCCATTTGTTCTCAGGTAAACTAACACAGACTTCAGTTAGAATGATCCCATATGTTCTCAGGTAAACTAACACAGACTTCAGTTAGAATGATCCCATATGTTCTCAGGTAAACTAACACAGACTTCAGTTGGAATGATCCCATTTGTTCTCAGGTAAACTAACACAGACTTCAGTTAGAATGATCCCATATGTTCTCAGGTAAACTAACACAGACTTCAGTTAGAATGATCCCATATGTTCTCAGGTAAACTAACTCAGACTTCAGTTAGAATGATCCCATTTGTTCTCAGGTAAACTAACACAGACTTCAGTTAGAATGATCCCATTTGTTCTCAGGTAAACTAACACAGACTTCAGTTAGAATGATCCCATATGTTCTCAGGTAAACTAACACAGACTTCAGTTAGAATGATCCCATATGTTCTCAGGTAAACTAACACAGACTTCAGTTAGAATGATCCCATATGTTCTCAGGTAAACTAACACAGACTTCAGTTAGAATGATCCCATATGTTCTCAGGTAAACTAACACAGACTTCAGTTAGAATTATCCCATATGTTTTCAGGTAAACTAACACAGACTTCAGTTACAATGATCCCATATGTTCTCAGGTAAACTAACACAGACTTCAGTTACAATGATCCCATATGTTCTCACGTAAACTAACACAGACTTCAGTTAGAATGATCCCATATGTTCTCAGGTAAACTAACACAGACTTCAGTTAGAATGATCCCATTTGTTCTCAGGTAAACTAACACAGTCTTCAGTTACAATGATCCCATATGTTCTCAGCTAAACTAACACAGACTTCAGTTAGAATGATCCCATTTGTTCTCAGGTAAACTAACACAGACTTCAGTTAGAATGATCCCATATGTTCTCAGGTAAACTAACACAGACTTCAGTTAGAATGATCCCATATGTTCTCAGGTAAACTAACACAGACTTCAGTTAGAATGATCCCATTTGTTCTCAGGTAAACTAACACAGACTTCAGTTAGAATGATCCCATATGTTCTCAGGTAAACTAACACAGACTTCAGTTAGAATGATCCCATATGTTCTCAGGTAAACTAACACAGACTTCAGTTAGAATGATCCCATATGTTCTCAGGTAAACTAACACAGACTTCAGTTAGAATGATCCCATATGTTCTCAGGTAAACTAACACAGACTTCAGTTAGAATGATCCCATATGTTCTCAGGTAAACTAACACAGACTTCAGTTACAATGATCCCATTTGTTCTCAGGTAAACTAACACAGACTTCAGTTAGAATGATCCCATATGTTCTCAGGTAAACTAACACAGACTTCAGTTACAATGATCCCATATGTTCAGGGAAGATGATTCAAGCCTAAGATGTGCACATCTTTAAAAAAAATTAAAATGCTAATAAATAAATAAATATGATAGATAAATTATTCCTTTCTAAAGATATGTGTTCCCTCTTTTATCTGGAGTGTTCCCAGCTCCACCAATACTCGGGCACTCGGCTAGCAAGTGCACACCTGTCTCTGGCGCCTGCCCACAAATGAGACATGTCAATTCCCGAGGAGAATTCAATCTTTCAAAATTTTTGACTGAATTTTTTGTTATGATACATTTTATATTTAAACTCAAACTCTTATAAGACATTTTTGTTCCATATTTTTCTATTTTCGTAATTTTTTTTTTTCAGGCAACGAATTTGATGACAAATGTGCCATTAGTTTTGCGCAAGCGATTGAAGTAAGTTATCAGACTTTGCCTGTGCGAAACATAGGCCACTAATTCAATAACATGTTAGATTTCTATCCATTGAAAACCAATTTTCTGTCTACCATCACACAATAGTTGTAATTTGTTTACATTTACATTTGTGGACGCTCTGGAAGAACGTGTGGAGTCCACACTATTGGAAAATGACAACGTCGAAGCAAACTGGGCATCACTTAGATCGATGCTGTACAACACCGCCATGGAGTTTCTGGGACCAAGCTTCAAAAAACATTAGGATTGGTTTGATAACTGTGACGTAATCAAGAAACTGCTGGAGGAAAAACGCCGTCTCCAATACGCTTCCCTAAACAACCCGAGGTCAAGGCCAATGAAAGATGCGTACAACCCGAGGTCAGTCTCAATGAAAGATGCGTACCACGGTGTAAGAAGAACGGTGCAGCGAAAACTGCGTCTAATGCAGAATAAGTGGTTGAGCGACAAGGCCGGCAAGATCCAAAGCTATGCGGACCAACATGACATAAAAAATTTCTACTCCGCTCAGAATATAGTGTACGACCTGACTTCATCAGGATCATCCCCACTTCTGAGTGCTGATGAGAAATCTCTAATCAATGAGAAGGGGGAAAAAATTGTTTGCTGGGCTGAACACTTTGACAACAACCGGAATCGACCTTCATCCATCAATGATGAAGCAATAAATCGTCTCATACATGAGCAGACACAGACACCACCAGGGACCTCCAGCATGCAGACGACTGTGCCCTAAACGATGTATCAGAAGTGGATATGCAACGCTGCGTCACAAACTTGTCCAATGCCTGCACAAACTTCTGGCTCACCATAAACACAAAAAAGACTGAGGTCCAATACCAGCCAGCTCCTCGAAGATCTTATGTGGAGCCCAACATCCAAGTTTATGGCGACTTAAGGTGGTGAATAACTTTTCTTACCTTGGCAGCACACTGTCCCAAAGCGCAACCATCGCTGATGAGGTTACCCTCCATATTGCGAGAGCCAGTGCAACCTATAGAAAATTGACTAAGAACGTGTGGACCAGGAGAGGAATCAGCACTCAAACTAAACGGAAAGTTTATAAGGCGTCTGTTCTCCTTAAGCTTCTATATGCCTGTAAAACAGGGACGGTCTACCAATGCCATGCTGAACCACTTTCATAAAACAAGACGCAAAAAATCCTCAACATTAAATGACAGGACAGGGTCCCAGACACTGAGGTGCTCACACAAGCAGATCTCCCAGCATCTTTACCATATTAATTCAGTGCCAGCTTCGTTGGGCGGGACATGTTGTGAGAATATCAGACGACCATCTGCCAGCCAGTATTTTTCTATGGTGAGCTCGAACAAGAACCGCTGTCTTCTGGCGGGCAGAAAAAAACGTTTTAAAGACAACATAAAAGCCTCACTGAAAGCGTTCAACATAAGCCGAGACACGTGGGAGGAAAAGCAAAGGATCGAACATCATGGCGTTCCACTTTACACAGGAGCTCCATGCAACATGAAGTTAGCAGCACAAGAGACATGCCAGGAAGGACCGGTCTGACACTGCTCCAGGAGATGCCCCATCATTCCTCTGCACCTACTGCACAAGAAAATTTCGTGCCAGAATCGGCTTCATTTACCATCTGCTCACCCACAGACAGAACTAGCACAAATCAGATGATTAAACTGACGAACATTTACTTGTGAAACATCACACAATATTTGTAATTTGCTTACATTTACATGTGAACATCACACAATATTTGTAATTTTGTACATCTTTCTCGTTACATTTCATCACAAATCTAAGAACTGTTCTCGGTGACGTAATAACTACTTTTGCAGATTTTTTATTCACAAACCGTCTTAAAAAATGAAAAATGTAATGTACAATCAATAAAAGAATAGGATTTGTTTTGTCAATGAGATTTTAATAATGAATAGCGTCTTCTATCTATATAGACCGTTTCGCCCCAGCTACTTTGTGAGATATTCACGACGTGGAAACACCATTAGAGGGCGTCTAACGCCAGCCCGGGGTGTGAGGGAGTGGAATTGAGCACGTTGATCTAACCATCCAAATATTAGCAAGCTCGATAGTTGATGTTGTAGGGTCAGCGCCACAATCCTATCAGGTGCTCTTTGTTTTCGATTACCCCCACTCTGCTAGCCAATCGATTGGACTTCAAACGGGGGCTGTCTCAGCCACGTAGAACTCCCGGCGTGCCACTTCGGGGTCCGATTTTCGCTCTCAGGTTGGGGGGGGGGGAGAGGTACAACGGGAAGATCTTAATCAGCTTAGGCCCGAAAATTTTCTTAAGTGGATTAGATTAGATCTGTTAAGACGTGTACAATATATATATATATATTTTTAATGTATAACCTTCCTCCCACCCCTCTCCTCAAATCATCACACGTTAACAAAATGCCTCACCCCATTTTCTCTCATTTAGTGGCGTCACAAAACTGTATCCAAATTTTCATGATAATAATTTGAAGTATGTTGGTCAAATCTTAATGTCATTTTTTTCTTCTTCAGAATAACAATTTACGGGAACTCAATCTCAGCCACAACAAGTTCTCTGACGCCGGTGCTCAGCTGCTGGGCCCAGCTATTGGTGGGTGCTTAGTTAAATTACACCAAGAATAATTAGAGTGTATAGTGCCACCAAATTAACTCATTGGAACATAATCCCCTTAAGGAATTTTTCAATATGAATAGATCTAAGTCAACAAGAAACATTTTAATTGTTGATGTCTTTAGGGCAATGCGTACTCAAACTTTTCGATCCAAGGGTCAGTATTTGACTTTGGCCAAACCGAGAGGTCCAGGCCAGACAGTGTCGGGCCAACTGCACATTGAGTTTGAGCCTGCGGTACCACAGCTTTCGTCCCTAGGGGGCGCCATACGCCACTTAATCGTATATTCGTCGCTAGGTGGCGCCATACGCCACTTAATCATATATTCGACGCAAGGTGGCGCCATACGCCACTTAATCGTATATTCGACGCTAGGTGGCGCCATACGCCACTTAATCGTATATTCGTCGTTAGATTTAGATTTGAAATTTACATAATAACTTTCTTTTGTTTTAAATCCAGATGTTTGTTTTCTTTTCCTTTTTAAGAGTTCTCTAGTAGTTAAAATGAACATGAACTTTAATTTTAGTTCTACAATTCATCACTGTATTCGTTCACCAACTTTATGAAAATAAGGAGTAGTCTAATTTTTTTCTCCTTGGTTGCTGAAACTTGTCTGAGTGCAAAAAGCAAATCACCATGTACTGCACATGACTTATATTTCATTAAGAAATGTTAACCAGACGATGATGAAATGAGGAACTCCTCCTTATGACATGCATACGTTCAATAACTGTTTCCGCAACTTCAGTAAAGCCACTGCACGATTTTAAACACAGGAATGACTGCAGTGACATGCTATCATTTTCTGTTGTTGTTTTGTTGTTTTTTTTTGACTGCCTTGAGACGACTGGCAAGACCTATCCAATTTTTGCAGGAGCTAGTAATGGTGTTCCTGGTTAATTCGAGGGTCAATTTTCATTTAGCGCTACTCATGAGACACGTCAGACTGATGCATAAAACATCTATATGTCCTTTAGACAAACCTAGACTTTCGGTTGGCTCGTGTTTCTGTAAGTTTCCCCGCGGGGCCAGACTTTGACTACGCCTGCTTTAGAGGAATTGTTATGTTTTCTATCTCAGGCACCAATGAGAATATGGATGTTCTTGATTTGAGCTGGAATCATCTCAGAGAAAACGGGGGTATGGCAATAGCTAAGGGCCTCAAGGTCAGTTGATTTGGCGGTGATTATTAAAAATTAATGGTAACAATTCAATATATTGGGGATTGCATCTAATTTATATTTATTTTATTCCTGGCTTCATGTGATGATTTTTTTACAGTATGCTATAACTTAATGATTGACCTAAATATAGAGATTAGAACACACGATATCAAAGATTGAAACAAACAAAATATTTTTATATCATAAACTTAAAAATGACATGATTTTTAAAAACTGATTAGAATCCAGCCATTCTTCTTGATCAAATGATGTATCCACTATTTTGATCAAATGATGTATCCACTATTTTGATCAAATGATGTATCCACTATTTTGATCAAATGATGTATCGACTATTTTGATCAAATGATGTATCGACTATTTTGATCAAATGATGTATCGACTATTTTGATCAAATGATGTATCCACTATTTTGATCAAATGCTGTATCCACTATTTTGATCAAATGATGTATCGACTATTTTGATCAAATGATGTATCGACTATTTTGATCAAATGATGTATCGACTATTTTGATCAAATGATGTATCGACTATTTTGATCAAATGATGTATCGACTATTTTGATCAAATGATGTATCGACTATTTGATTAATAATCTGTTTTTATTCTGTAGATAACCCCAAAAGTTTGACGAGAAACAATACGATGTCATCCCGTCAAACGAACATTTTCGAAACATATTTTTTTTTTCTTTTTACCAGGAGAACGTTAGACTTAAATCATGCAATCTTTCTTGGAACGGACTGGGAGTTCGAGGCGGGTTGGCCGTGGTTGACGCACTGTCAACCAACCAGAGTCTACAAGAACTAGACATCTCTGGAAACCGTTTAAATCTTGAGGTGGCGACGGCCTTGGCCAAAGTCCTTACCACCAACGACACGATCAGGATACTCAAAGTCAGTTGAGCTCATATGTTTGTTTGTTGCTTGTTATTTTGATGTAGCGTTAAGTGAATTAATAAGAAGGAAATTCCGCCACTAACTCTATTGGAGCATCTGTTTTGCAAAGCTGTCATGCCACTAACTCTATCGGAGCATCTGTTTTGCAAAGCTGTCATGCCACTAACTCTATCGGAGCATCTGTTTTGCAAAGCTGTCATGCCACTAGCTCTATCGGGGCATCTGTTTTGCAAAACTGCATGTCATGCCACTAAATCTATCGAGGCATCTGTTTTGTAAAGCTGTCATGCCACTAACTCTATCGAGGCATCTGTTTTTGCAAAGCTGTCATGCCACTAACTCTATCGGAGCATCTGTTTTTGCAAAGCTGTCATGCCACTAACTCTATCGGGGCATCTGTTTTGCAAAGCTGTCATGCCACTAACTCTATCGGGGCATCTGTTTTGCAAAGCTGTCATGCCACTAACTCTATCGAGGCATCTGTTTTTGCAAAGCTATCGGGTACCACGATTAAATGCCCGGCCTGCGGGGAGGACTATAGTTATACAGACATCTGAGATAGACATACACTACAATGAAATAAGAAATAATAATTAATGCGTACAATTTTTTCAAGAATGGTATTGTCCATTTCAGATGGGAAACAACTTTATAACGTCAGCGGGAGCCCTGGCCCTGGCGTCTGCCATTAACAACACGGAGACCTGTGAGCTAGAGGAGTTAGACTTGACAGTAGGTTGATGGAGTAGAGGCGTTAGACTTGACAGTAGGTTGATGGAGTAGAGGAGTTAGACTTGACAGTAGGTTGATGGAGTAGAGGAGTTAGAATTAACAGTAGGTTGACTGAGTAGAGGAGTTAGACTTGACAGTAGGTTGATGGAGTAGAGGAGTTAGACTTGACAGTAGGTTGATTGAGTAGAGGTGTTAGAATTGACATTAGGTTGATTGAGTAGAGGTTAGAATTGACATTAGGTTGATTGAGTAGAGGAGTTAGAGTTGACAGTAGGTTGATTGAGTAGAGGAGTTAGAATTGAAATAAGTTTGATTGAATAGAGGAGTTAGAATTGACAGTAGGTTGATTGAGTAGAGGGGTTAGAATTGACATTAGGTTGATTGAGTAGAGGAGTTAGAATTGACAGTAGGTTGATTGAGTAGAGGAGTTAGAATTGACAGTAGGTTGATTGAGTAGAGGAGTTAGAATTGACAGTAGGTTGATTCAGACGAGTCGATAACACATTAGACCTTTAAGCGTGTGTGTGGGAGAAAAAAACATTCATTAGGAATGAACAATTCCTACAGCGTGTTGAATGCGAGTAATGCAAAAATTGTATTACACTGCTTCTCCCTTACCACAGGATGTTCCGGTTGAGTATGAATTTTTGCGGACGATAGAGGACGTGAAGGCCACGAGACCGAACTTCATCGTCAGGCACGGGCCTATCATGAGGGCGGGAAACACAAGGGAGGACATCTCAACCCCGGCAATTGATGTTGAGAAGATCAGGAAGGAACCAGTGGTATTACTGAAGGTAGGCGTCATCAGCCATGTGCTTGTAATGTTACTTGTTGCATCCGATGTCAATAGTCATGTTATAACACATGATGTCAATGTCCATGCCGTTGTAATTTTATAGCACAATATGGCAGCGTCCATGCTGTTGTAATTTTATAGCACATAATGTCATCGCCCATGCTGTTGTAATGTTATACCACAATGTGTCATCGTCCATGCTGTTGTAATGTTATAGCTCATTATGTCAGCGTCCATGCTGTTGTAATGTTATAGCTCATTATGTCAGCGTCCATGCTGTTGTAATGTTATACCACAATGTGTCATCGTCCATGCTGTTGTAATGTTATAGCTCATTATGTCAGCGTCCATGCTGTTGTAATGTTATACCACAATGTGTCATCGTCCATGCTGTTGTAATGTTATAGCTCATTATGTCAGCGTCCATGCTGTTGTAATGTTATACCACAATGTGTCATCGTCCATGCTGTTGTAATGTTATAGCTCATTATGTCAGCGTCCATGCTGTTGTAATGTTATAGCACATTATGTCAGCGTCCATGCTGTTGTATGTAATGTTATACCACAATGTGTCATGGTCCATGCTGTAGAAAACACATATGAATGTTTGTTATGGCAATAGAACGCTCATCTATTAAGGACGGATTTAATTTACGTTATCTGAATGAATTATTATAATTATTATTATTACTATTATTATTAAAATTTTTGGATTAAGAATAAATCTGGGTTCCGGCAACTATATGTTAACAAAATGTCAATGCTTAAATCACTATAACATGCTAACCTTTGCACTCTTCCCCAGGAGCACATCGTCATCAACGACATGAGGCTGCTGGATATTTTGAAACGATATGATGAGAGCAACTCACTGAGCATCTCTGCCGAGGACTTCATATCAGCTCTTGAGGTACGAATCTCATCGACGGTTTAACAGCAACGGTTTAAAAGCAACGGTTTAACGGCGTTAAAATTAATTATTTAAAAACAATTTATTTAACACAATACGTTCAGCGTTGTCTTAAAGGGCAGTGTGTTCAACGTTGTCTTAAAGTGCAGTGTGTTCAACGTTGTCTTAAAGTGCAGTGTGTTCAACGTTGTCTTAAAGTGCAGTGTGTTCAACGTTGTCTTAAAGTGCAGTGTGTTCAACGTTGTCTTAAAGTGCAGTGTGTTCAACGTTGTCTTAAAGTGCAGTGTGTTCAACGTTGTCTTAAAGTGCAGTGTGTTCAACGTTGTCTTAAAGTGCAGTGTGTTCAACGTTGTCTTAAAGTGCAGTGTGTTCAACGTTGTCTTAAAGTGCAGTGTGTTCAACGTTGTCTTAAAGTGCAGTGTGTTCAACGTTGTCTTAAAGTGCAGTGTGTTCAACGTTGTCTTAAAGTGCAGTGTGTTCAACGTTGTCTTAAAGTGCAGTGTGTTCAACGTTGTCTTAAAGTGCAGTGTGTTCAACGTTGTCTTAAAGTGCAGTGTGTTCAACGTTGTCTTAAAGTGCAGTGTGTTCAACGTTGTCTTAAAGTGCAGTGTGTTCAACGTTGTCTTAAAGTGCAGTGTGTTCAACGTTGTCTTAAAGTGCAGTGTGTTCAACGTTGTCTTAAAGTGCAGTGTGTTCAACGTTGTCTTAAAGTGCAGTGTGTTCAACGTTGTCTTAAAGTGCAGTGTGTTCAACGTTGTCTTAAAGTGCAGTGTGTTCAACGTTGTCTTAAAGTGCAGTGTGTTCAACGTTGNAAAAAAAAAAAATTTATTACCTTTGCGGGGGGGGGCAAAACATTTTTAGTAATGTTTTAATGTAGTTTTAATTCACTGTAGCGTATTTGTATGATGAACGAATGGACAGGACATCAGCTTAGTTACTTTCTCTTGATTTTATCTTTACTTTAATACATTTTTTGTCTATTTTTATCTAAAAAAATTTTATTCAATCAATCCAGGGGGGGGGCAAGTGCCCCACCTTGCCCCTACCTGCGGGTGCCCTGGGGGGGGTTGGGGTGGTTGGGTGAGGTTACAAATTTGCTAGATTCTAATTGCCAAGTTTCAACTCGATAGGTTGGCGGTAAGTGGGTCAATAAGCCGTCCGAAGATTGAGCTAGCCACCCTACGAACAAAATCCAGTAACTGGGACTTTCTTTCAAAGACGAGTTGAAACGCACTAACGAGTAGGAAATAATGTCAAATTTATTCTAATCCATTAAGCAAAGAAAGGCGGTGTTAGTGAGTCAGATGCACCGGCCTCGTCTCGACCTTACAGGTCAGTTAGAGCAAGCGGGGGAAAAAAGGGGGCGGTGGGGTTAAATCACGTTTCATGTTAGTCCTATCAGTCCGCACCCCAACCCCCTTTTCCCTCGACCCGGTAAACCGGAACTCTCAGACAAAGTCTGTCTCGTGTTGACCTTACAGGTCAGTTGGAGCTTTGGAATCAACCGTAGCGAGAGGGACACGCGGGAGGAAACGTAAGCAAAAAAAAAAATTAGGCTGGACATACCGGACAAGAAGACATAACTAACGGACTTGTGAGTAGAGGGGAAGTTTTAATAATACAACGTTCTCACACCCCCACCTTCCTGCGCCACAGCTATTTGCCTCACGTGATTTCAACGTCATCAGAAACGGAAGCTATATTACTTTCATTCCAAAGACATTACAGGGGATTTGTCCCGTCCCCCCACCCCCCCCCCCCCCCCCCCCCAAAAAAAAAGAAAAAAAAAGAATCTTTTTCTATAAGTATTTTTGCACTTATTTTTGTCTATGATGCATCCCTTCCCCCAGGAGCTCGCTGTGCCGTATGACAGAAAGAGATTAGAAGACTCGGTGAGAACGTTCGCAGCCACAGCCACGGGAAAGATTTATTTTGGGTGAGTACGCGCGTACCTCTGGGCAATTAAAATCATTAGGAACGCTACAATTCAATATAATTTGTTACAATTCAATATAGTTTGTTACAATTCAATATAGTTTGTTACAATTCAATATAGTTTGTTACAATTCAATATAGTTCTTTACAATTCATTGAGGTTCTTTACAATTCAATATAGTTACGGTATTTATAATACAATATCGTTCGTTACCATTCAATATAGTTATTTAAAATACAATATCGTTCGTTCAATTCAAATATAGTTATTTACAATACAATATAACTCATTGCAATACAATATAGTTCGTTACAATTCAATTTAGTTTATGTAACAATATGACAATCCCCGTATGACTTGTATTCAAATATAGAATTTAGTGGCAAAATAAAAAGTAGACTAGTTGCAATAAAAATAGAATTTCAATTGTGTAATTATTATAAAGACAATTATTTTATGACGCCCCATATATTCACAGGAGCTTTGTGTCCGAACAAAAGAACAAGTTACAGGTGAATGAAAGCGAAACGTGAGAAATCAACGACGACTTATCAATAACAAATTTATGTATTGTAAAAAAACAACAGACATTCCTATAGTGGTGAAGCATTTATGTCAGTGAGCTGGTCATCGCAGTGCATATGTTATTAAAAGCTTTCATTGTTGTGATCATAATGCTTTTATGATCTTTATCAAAGGCACATAAAGTACATAAAACCACTGTTACGAATTGTAACGTTCTTTGGCAAAATTACATTTTAAGATATCTGAAAAGCAATGCTAATATATTAGGATTATATTATATTAGGATTGGAAATTGATATAGCTGTTTTTTGTTTTTTGTTGTTTTTTTTACATTTCTAATAATTAAAATTATGTACAAACTAATGATACATAGAATAAAAGCACAATCAAGCTTAACAAATCGTGAAGCAAAACACAATAAACTGAATAATCATTGCAATGGTTTTTGTTAAAGTGTTTTATGAAATAGTATAGTTAACACGTTAGAGTAATTAATTCCAAATGTAATTTTTAAAGGCCACTAGGGTAATAACTGCACCCCTGGACCTTAGGCTTCCAAGGATGTAAAAAAAATAAGGGGCAGTAACTGTGGACCTGAAGCTTCCCTGCAGACAATAGTGTGGCTTCTAACGCAGGATCCCAGTTGCCTTTTCAATTAAAGATAAAAAAACAAAAAATCCCTGGAAAGCCTTCCCACCCCACTGCGTAAAAACTTAAGTCAAAAATTGTCGCTATACGTCAGTATACGCCACGTTGTGTAGCATCTTGTCACCGGCAATCACGTGGAGATGCTGAGCTCAGTAGCTCTAGCTAAGCTTACCAGATTTCCTGGATGCCAGGTACGGACACAAAAGCTCATAGCAATGGGAGACGAAAATAAAAGGTGTTGTGAATGATTTGTAACATCCTCCTGTACATGGGCGCCCGCAGAAAACTTTCTAGGGGGGGGGGGCAAAAAATCGATTAACTTTCCAGGGGGGACGACAAAATTTTTTTAATAATGTTTTAATATAGTTTTAATTTACTGTAGCGTATTTGTATGGTGAACGAACGGACAGGACATCAGCTTAGTTACTTTCTCTTTATTCTCTCTTTAATACATTTTTTATCTATTTTTGTCTAAAAAAATTTTATCCAATCAATCCAGGGGGGACAAGTGCCCCCTTGCCCCCCCCCCCTGCGGGCGCCCATGCTCCTGTACCTACTTTTCCAAAACTTGCCAAGGAAATGAAAGGTCACAGTTTTTGTATGGTGAACGAACGGACAGGACATTAGCTTAGTTACTTTCTCTTTATTCTCTCTTTAATACATTTTTTATCTATTTTTGTCTAAAAAAATTTTATCCAATCAATCCAGGGGGGACAAGTGCCCCCTTGCCCCCCCCCCCCTGCGGGCGCCCATGCTCCTGTACATCATTTTCCAAAACTTGCCAAGGAAATGAAAGGTCACAGTTCACATTAAATGCATGGTTTGTATATTTTGTCAATAAGAATATTATTATTATCATATCAGGTTGTATTAAATGTTTAAAGAGCGTTTTGTATTTTTTGTCAATAAGATTATCATTATTATATCTGGTTGTATTTAATTTCAGTACCGACTTCGAAAAACATGGCTCTTGGCAGGTTCTTGAAAAGAAATTTGGCTCTGAACGTTTTTAAAAATCGTCCTGCTGCAGATTTTTGGCTCTTTTGACTGATGAGTTTGCGGACCACTGCTTTAGCTCTTCAAAGAGAATAGCAACAATTTTCCCTCGGAACAGTACATTTACATTAGTGACACGTCTTTCGACTTAGTCCCAGGAAGGGAACACCTTCAAAGTCACCCCAGAAAATATTTAAAAATCTTCAAAGCATCAAAGCCCAACATTGCAGATATGTTACACATAACATGTGTACCATAGAATGGGAAAATTGCTTTATTTTTATTTTTTTTTATCTCTTGCGTTTATTTCACGTGCTACTCCAAAATCTTTCAACTTACTGCGAATAATGAGTGGAATTAATTTCTGCTCTAACCTTTCCTGGCATCTTAGCAGAAGACTTCAATTCCACAGCTACTTCAACAAATGTTGCAGTTACAGCAGCTTGGTTGTGGAGGCAATACAACCAGATCTCTGCAGTTGGGTTTTAAAAAAACAACAAAAACAAAAACTGTGTGAGCAGTGCGTATGAGGGACCCCAACTCTTGTCAAAGTTTCAAAGACAGTGACTAAGTAACACAAACGTCACCATGACAGCACAGGCTGCGCAGAGAGTCTCAAGCTGTTTGACACATGTGCAGCTACGCTTAGGTTCATGACAAGTGTTCCGCACGATGGCGCGTGAAGCTATTCATTGCTCTGGCCTGTGAGGAGAACAGGACCGGTCTTAGGCCGCTGCAACCTATGCGGCCGCAGTGGGCCCCGCACTTTCATAGGCCCCGAACTAATTTATTTTCTAATACAAAATCTTAAGGTTTCACTTATTATCCTTATCCCTACCCAGACTGGGCCCCGCGCAATCCGCTTCGCATAGGGCCCCGCAATTGTTAGGAACGGCCCTGGAGGAGAAATAAAATCATTTCTTTTCTGGAGCAGATTAATGAGACACAAACAATTTTTGTAAATTTTTCTGGAGCCGAGTTCTGTTGAAATGTTTGCTTCATATCTCCGATTTGCTCAGTGAAGCCTCCTCCTCCACCATGGGCGCCCACAGGTAGGGGCAAGGGGGGCACTCCCCCCCCCCTGGATTGATTGGATAAAAAATGTTTAGACAAAAAATTTATAAAGTAAAGAGAAAATAAAGAAAAAGTAACTAAGCTGATGTCCTGTCCATTCGTTCACCATACAAATACGGTACAGTAAATTAAAACTATATTAAAACATTACTAAAAAATTTTTTGCCCCCCCCCGCTGGAAAGTTAATAGATTTTTTGCCCCTCCCCCTAGAAAGTTTTCTGCGGGCGCCCATGTCCTCCACCCCATATTAATAATATTAATAGCTAAATAAATTGTTCCATTGTCGCAGGACCCATAAATTGCGCAGGGCCCATAAATTCCGCGGTCCCATAAATTGCGCAGGGCCCATAAATTCCGCGGTCCCATAAATTGCGCAGGGCCCATAAATTGCGCAGGGCCTCATTAGCCTTAAGGTTAATCCAAAACTCAGACATATGCATAGCGTCATTACAAGTAAGTTCCAGAGCAAAGCACGTTCCCTTGTGATCCCTTGTCACGGGGCCCCTAGGCATGTGCCTCATTTGCCTCTCGGTTACTCCGGTACTGCTCAGGTATTAAAAAAAAAGAAATATGAACACTGCTAATTCTTAGAAACCCCAATCAATCAATAAAGTTACCTGAAGTCAAAATTATAACCAACAACTCTAATAATGACACTCATTAATCAACTCATATAATTTTGTAATCGCTTGGTAGCATGGGCGCCCGCAGAAAACTTTCTAAGGGGGGGGGGGGGGTAAAAAAATATGGATTAATTTTCTGGGGGGGGGGGGGAAATTTTTTTTTCTGTTTATTTTCTCTTTACTTAAATACATTTTTTATCTATTTTTGTCTACATTTTTTTTTATCCAATCAATCCAGGGCAAGTGCCCCCTTGCCCCCCCCCCCTGCGGGCGCCCATGCTTGGTAGGCTACTTAAGTTTCAATTCAAGCGGATCCCGGGATTCAACACGATTTATAAATTTTATTAAATAAAACATTCCCCGGGAATTTTTTTCATACAAATAACAATGTTCTTTTTTTTTTTTTTTTTTTTTTTTTTTTTTTTTTTTTTTTTTGGGGGGGGGGGGGTTTTTGACCATGAGATTATATTAAAAAATACACTTTTAAGCAGAGTAAATTCTTGGAGATTACAACGTATATAATTTTATTTTTCAGTATCATATTATTGTAATCAACGAGTTATTTAAAGTAATCATTGAAATAATTGTTAGTGTACTTTAAGTTTAAGTTTAAGATACCAATAAATTATTATTAAAAATTCGAATAACAATTTTTAGAATTTAACTTCCTTCCTCACAAGGTAAGTTAGGTAATTCCATGTTTACAAATTTATCTTCGGTCTATAGGCCTATGTCGTTTGCACTTTGAAATTTTGAATCGAACTGAAATTTTCAAATTCAAAGGTAATATTTAATTTTTTTTATCACAATAAAAGGGCAGTTCAGGTGCCTAAATTGTGGAACAGTTTGTCTCAATCTTCGAGGGAAATTAATTAAAAATGATAAAAAGTCAATGATAAAGTAAGACTTTCAATTTTTTAAAAGATAGATTTACTATTTAAGTTTAAGAGTCAGTGTCGTGAGCATGCTAAAATAGCATGGTAAATTACAAGCGCTATAAATTTATAAAATTAAAGTACTCAATCATCGTCATCATCATCTCATCATCATCATAATCATATCTTAATACTTAATTATCATATATTTTAATACTTCTTAACAAATTTCGTATTTTTGCATGCAGACTTACGTGCATTCTTTATTAAATTGACAACATGCTACAGTTACATACACTCAATCATAATTCAATGTATCATGTAGTAGGCCTAAATTACATGTAGTAAATTCAGTAATTCATGTCATTGTCATGTAGTAAAAGTAAAATTGTACAGCGACACCGATAAAACAGGTATTTCTTTTTAGTTGATGCACACTATACATGGATGATAGTAGTACGGAGAACGTAAATTTACCAAAGTCAACTCAAAGTCCTCTTACTTATAGTATAGGCCTACTTATTTATTAACTAATACTGTAGGCCTACAGTGTAGCCTGTAGCCACTCATTGATCATTAGTTAATAGGCAACTACTACAGTTACAGACTACAGTAGTTGAAAGTAGTACTACTACTTTGGACTACAGAATAAGTCTATACTATTAAAAATAAACCTTAAACTTGTATGATAATGATTTAAATGATTACTGTCTTAGACTGTCTATATATTGCTAAAAAATTGTCAGTAGTAGTTAGTGCAGGCTATTTTGTATTTCCTCCAAATGTTAGTTTCAGACCTAATTATATTTTAGTTTTATCAGGCTATACTTTAAACTAAACGTAAAAATAAATTATTAGTTGAAATTTAAAAAAAGAACAACCTTCAAAAATTAAACCTACTTTGGTCTTAAATGTAAATGATTGCATTTTGCCAAACCTAAAAGCTTACTAATAAATAATTGTAACTAACATTACTAATAATTCATTTTATTTAATATAAGTTAGTAGCTAGACGTGAATAAGTGAAACTATTGGAAGAATAGGACTACATGACCACAGTAGCAATTTCTAGGTCACCACAGACATTTTTGTGTGTGTTAATTTATATAAACCTAAGCTTAAATAACTTAATAGGCCTACTTACTAAAATTAAAATAATTTTTTTTCTGTGTTTACAAAAACATGTGTAGAATGAGAGAAAAAATAACGTTTGCACAATAAA